CAAGTTGCCACAGAGGTTTACTCTTGCTGATAAACTATTTAGCACAACCAACTTATAACACAATCAACTTATTTCTTGAAAAGTCATAATTCTGTGATACATATTTCACAATACCAAATTCGGGGAATGTACTTAAAGGGACACTGACAGGGTATTTATACTCGCCGAGGTTTTTAGTTGTACGTGACATATGAGAGCTCAACTACCCAGAACACAATTTGCGGCTCGAAATTCGGTTTCTTTCCGCCCGAAAACCGCCGATCAAGAACTGGCCGGTTCGAGTCTCGCTCACTCTCTTTTTCGCGGTCACGGGCCGTTTTCTAAGGTATCGATGCGACCACCAAATTTAATCAAAGTCGTGGGTCACTGAAGGCACACACTCAATATCAAAATAGAAAAAAAATATGAAACCCATTTTTTGTGGTTTCTAAAAAGCTGTAAATACGTTGATTGAAAAAAAAAAAATTGCACAGACAACCGGAAGCTTTCTGTGCGTTCGTCGTTTCGCGTATCGTGGGACTCGCGGGGACGGCGATGGCAGCGGACGACGGGCGTGGGACCTCTATTTCAGAACTGTCGTTCGTGGTACCGGCGAATTCTGTCTACCGTTAAAAGAGAAATTTGGGACTGATTAAAAGAATTGGTATTCATCCCGTACGACACGCCCGGCCACCAAGCCTATTTGCACGAAGACGTCGCCGAGCCGTCGCTCCCTTCTCGTGGCTGAAGACATCGCTCGCGCAAACGTCAAGCACGACGTGTCTACTTCGAGTTGAATATGCACGCGTACGATTTCTTTACTAGGTGCGAATGTCCCCTAAGCGTGGAGCTTCCCGACTTCGAACCGGGAGTGCTTTTGCTAGAGAAAAATCGACAGCAAACTTTCCAACTTAGTTTACCGGCTGAACTATTACTAAGGAAAGAGATCACCAGAAAAGAGATGCCCCAGTAGCTCACAATAAAGAAAAAAAAAAAAAAAAGCCCCAGTAGCTCAGTGGCAAAAGTTATAAGTAATTTTCTGAAAATTTCAAAGGGAAAATGGAGCCCATTTTTGCCTGCTTTCGGTTTCTGGTGCCATAGAGCCCCATGTGTTTGAAAACTCCGTCGGCCGCCATTTTCCCATTGAAATTTTCAGAAAATCATTTGTAACTTTTGATTAAGTTATCGGATCGGGCTGAAACTTTGGCATCAGGTTGTGACCTCTAGCGCTACCTTTGGGCGGAGAATGAGCGTTCGGCGATGCCTAGTTTATTTTTGTGGTGAAAAAGACCGTGTAAATTTTCATTTGTGACACCCTGTACATTTTTTCATAGGAAACAAATTCAATTTTTTTTTCCCTATCTTGGCTCGGGAGAATTTATATTTTTCTATTTCAAATATTTAATGTTCTACCCCCCTGGCACCACTGCAGTACATCGTAGTGTGATACGTGAAGAAACCGACTTATGCGGTCTTTGAGTCGCGCAGTAAAACGAAGTGAAAAACCCATTCATCGCCTACCCGATAGTAGTCGCCGAACTGTGCTCCTATGATGGCGGTCATCGTGTCGAGGATGTCATCGTCGTTCATGGAAACGTCAGGCAAGTTCTTTCGGCGAGAAAGTTCATCGAGCGACGCAATCAGCGTTCGCATGCTCGTTTTTAGGTACTGGAACGGAAACACGCACTCCGCTTTGTCGGTTAGGGCTAGAACGCCTACGGTCGAGAGCCGCGGATGAGTCTCGTGAAGGCTTAACACGAGTGCTATCACTTTGACGAGCGTGTCGCAAATAAGGCTCAGCCATTCGCCCAATTCGGGAGTTAGGTCGAGCACGAGAAAGTGAGCGAGGCATGGTTCCGCTGGGGGATACTGTCCGGGTATGCGATCCATCCTAGCCAGAAAGAAAGCTGTTTATAGCAGACGACGCATTCGAAACAAGCGCTCTCTAGAGCGTTTGACAGCGTTGCCAGCATGTTCGTACATGTAGCGAGATATGGGGAAAAATCTCTAACCGAAGTAATAGCGAGTTCGTTTCACGGCACTCGTGCCCACGCGTGCCCACTCGCAGCGTGGAACGGGTTCTTTTCGGCCGGTACTCCACGAGTGGTTGCACTCTCCGAGTTCGTTTCAGCGCTGATACCCCACGCGTGCATGCACTCGCTGCACCGAGAAAATCGGGAGTGCGCCAAAATGCAATCCCGTCATGCCTCGCTCCGGCGGGGCCGGCGAGGAGCGAGAGCAGGCGACGAGGGTTCGTCTGCTACGATGTGTCGCGGAACCGAACGGAACAAAAAGTAGATTTTCTGAGAGAAATCGCGTCCCGCGGGCCACGAAATCAAACGCGAGCTTGAATTGTGAGCGTCTGCTATTTCCCGAAGGAAGCAATTGACAACCCGTGATTTATTTGCAGGTTTTAAATCGCTCTGTTGCCGTACAAACGCTGAAATATACCAGTGTGTAAAGAAATGCTCAGAACAAACGTAACAGCGGCCCCCGAGATGTCTATCATCATCCGTGTGCGGGTGGAAAATTTAATATTTGTCGGCAACACTCCCCCAGCAGAAACCTCTGTCTGCCCAATAAGCATCAGAGAAAGCTAAAGATGGTAACTTTACCCGAGGATTGGGCAACATCATCATGTTTAACATTTACCTACGTCAGCTAACTTGCCCCGTCGTATTTTGTTCGAGAAAGCTCTCGTTCTTGACGCCCTCACCAAGGCTAATTTCTGATCCACCTATAATGACAATCCAAATCGAAAGTCCCAGTTTTGCTGGATATTCCAACAGGCTAGTTTTAAGCCGTACCCTTTCAGTGGTTCACGCATAATACCAAGCTCAAACGGATCAAGCTTCTGCTCGGACAGCATCATCAGTTTTCTTCAGTGTAAACGGTTATAAGAATTGAAAGATCGTAACCAGCTGCTTTGTATAAAACTGGGTGCGAAAATTTACGCCGTCTGTAACTATCTCTACGGCAGCCGAGCTGCTTGAAGTCATCGCAACTATAAACTACAGGTTGCAGCGACCACAGTTTGTAGATAAACATTGGTAGCCGACTGCATTCTCGCATTCCCACGCATCACTCTGAACAGAAAGGCGCTAGTTTCGGTTTGAAATCGGTACCTTTTCTACAACATAGATGGCGGCAACATCAGTCTTCTGCTAGAGTGCCTTCATACACACGCGCGCTTTTGCTTGAGTGGTGACATCTCGGCCATTTTTCCGCCCACTCGTTTTTTTATGCATTTTGAAGTGCGCGCTATCTGGTGTCACTTTGCTCGAGCGCGTAGCGTTGGCTAATGCACAGACGCCATTTTACCGCCCAAGTCACGCTCCGAGTGCGCGAGAGCGTCACGCGCTGGCACATTCAGGGCGACAATGGATGGCTTCACCCTGAGACAGACAGACATGTAGGCACACTATCTTCTGCACGCGGTGCATTTGGCGAGTTCGTTTGAGTCCAGTTTTCCGTGCAACACTCTGTGAGTGCGATGCATTCTGGGAGAGAACTCGAACGGTGCCAGTGCGTGTGAAACGAACTCGCTATAAGACACGCGTACTAATTATTTAGAATTTTAGTTTTTATAGCCTATAAATTAAAAACTGGTGCTAAATTTAAAAAAATAGCTGTAGCACAACGGAATATCGGCAGCTTAAATAATAATCTGGCTTTTTTATCTTCACAAGAGACCAGAGAAAGTCAAATTTCGGTTTCGGAAATAACGGGCGCGTGGAGCTATACTGGCTTCGAAATTGCTGCCGATTTTATAAACTAAAAGACACTGAATTCGTTTGCGAATGATTGTGTATTTCGTGTTTTCTTCGTCGCTTTATAACGAAGTGTGCGGCAGAAATAGTCAAGTTGGTTCTATTTAAAACTAGTTACCTGGTTAATTAAGTCTGTCATTATGAAGTACCTGCATTCCTATTCCGTTTGGTCAAGCGGAAAAGCCTGACCGAATCTGCCATGCGATTGAGATGATTTGGAACAGCCGGAAAGCCCGGAAAGTTTAGGTCAATATCCAACCGGGTGGTGCAGACACAACGAATAACTGCACCATGGTCACTCCTCCACATCGCATAGAGGTGAACGCAAGCGCCCCTTAGGGCGGCAAGGCACATGTTTAACATTGGGAGCATGTTATTTATCGGGCAAAAGAAGCACCTGGATCGCTAGGTTGGACATTTGAGAAAAGGTACATGGAAGTGACGTAATGCAAAGGAGGAGCGTATCCTAGCAACACTCACGTGGCGGCTCTGCCCACTTTGACGCCGCTACGTCATCGCAAACTTGACACCCGTCACCCGTTTCAGCGACGTCCGGAGCCAACCATAGACGAGCGGAAGTAGCTACGCATTCCCTGAGGCGTCCCTACGCGCGGGATACGTGGTAGGATTTACTACGACGCGGGGAGCAGTTCCTGCGTTTAGCGAAGGAACGGCAACCAATCCTGTGCGTCGCTGGCCGTCGCATCTGTTCTAGTACAGGTAAAAGTATTGAAAAACAATCAAAACCTTTTGGGCGTTGTTAAAACAAACCGCTTTTTTGTACCCTTTTGCAATACATTTAAGAATTAATTGGAGAGAAAGTTGTTCCAATATTATGCGGGATGTGCGCTACGCGCCTTCTTCAAACCAAAATGTCGAACCACGAGGAGCCGGGTGTGCCGGGGGCAGCGGAGGGGTCGGCGGAACCAACGGGGAGCGCGCGAGTGACGGCTGCTTTAGTCAGAAACATTTTTTTTTATCTTTCGAGAACTTGCTATTGCTGTGCTCAAATAAGAATGTTTGGCGCAACATCTGTGACAATTCTTTCAAAGTGGTCCAGTGTTTATATGGTGGTATGCTAGTCAGAGAATATATATATATATATATTTTTTTTTCCTTTCGAAATTTAACTATTGTGCTCAAATAAGACCAGAGTGTTCAACAAGATATATGTGATATATACTTAAGATTGCCCAATTGCTTACATGGTTCCAGTCGATGCTCAGTTTTACTTCCAAGAATGAAATATTACATTCCATGTTATCACACTTTTATTCATGAAGTCACAGGTTTTTCTTTAAGAAATAAAGCAATTTTCAAAACAAACTACATGTGCACTGTCTTGAGATAACACAATCACCTAACTTTGATGAAGTACCATAAGAGAGATAATAAAATGGAGCAGAAGGCAAGACGCTTTGAAGCATTTGTAAAATGAAACAATGTCCATGACAACAATATCCCTGGTTCAATCAGCAACTAAGAAAGCAATCTCTGCAAAAGCAAGCATTTCTTTCTAGAGGTAGTCTAAATTACTTCTGAGTTCTTTGCAGGGGCAATCCAGATGACCTGTTGGTCTGGCAACTAAACCTCCGAACCTTTTCTGTCACTGTCGACTGCGTCTCGTGCCTTCTGCTCATAAAAATAAAAAAAAGGCTGTATCGATTTCACCGCGATGCACTCGACACGTATCCGGAGGCAGCACGCTGGCTGTGCGACGAACTTCGCAAGGTGTAGGAGCTGAAGAGAGTATGTAGCTTGTGGACGGCCATGACTGTGGAGCAGGAAGCGAAGTGTGCACTTTACGGCTTCCACGGGGAGGGCTTCACTGAGGGCAAGAATGTGACGGGGTCCTCGGTGGTCAGGACCTCAGTCGTGGTGGCGAGAGGTTCCCTGTCGCTGGCGGCGTCCGTGCTGGGCACCACCGCAGCGAGGGCGCTGAGGGGCTTCCCGACGGAGTCCCTGGTGGTCGGGACTACCGTCGTGGCGGCGGACCCCTTGCGTGTGGCGCTCCGCACGGGCACGTCTGCGACGGGTTCCGAACCGGGCGACAAGGCGCTGCCTCAGAGCCTTCCCCCTGTCCGAGAGGCCGACCGGAAGGCCGACCGGAGGGCCGGCAGGAGCCAGCCTCTCGGGAGCCGACGCTGACCTCTCCGAGCTCGGCTCAGACTCCAACTCTGACTCTTCAGGGTCGGAGTCTGACTCCGGTTCTGGCTCGCTCGATGCAAGGCAGATGTAGTGGAGCACTGCACATGCCGAAATAATGGCGGTGGCTGTTGAGGGGTGGTAATACAGAGCCCGGTGCCTTTGCAGACACCGGAATCTGTTTTTCAACAGCCCGATGCAGCGCTCCACAACAGACCTGATCGAGGAATGCGCCTTATTAAACCGGCCGCAAGCGGTGGAGGTCGCGTGGTTCCCGGGGACAGGGGTGATGAGCCAGGGCTCCAAGGGGTAGCCGCTGTCACCTGCACATGTAGAGGATGGAACATATTACATTCTTGACTTTTTAAAATAAAAGGCAAGAAAACAGCTGTGTGCAACTATGTCAATTATAATGTAACTTAAGTGTGACTTAAAAGTGTGTTAATATTTCTGCACTACAGTATCAGTTTACATTATGATTAATTAGCACCAGCTTGCCTGCAAACTCCCTGTTATTTCATGTAACTATATGTTTTCCTGGTGGGTTGTATGGGATGTGTGCACGATTCCTTAGGGGTGCTGTGTTGTATGCAAATGCATTATTAGGCCCTTGCATCCGACAGATAAAAGCTCTGTTGCTTTTGGGAGTGTGGCCGTGACCTTAGGCACGGGCAGAGCAGAACACGCTGGCCTTGTCTTTGGCAAGCAAGGGGATAAGGCGCCAGTTCGACGAACCTCTTTCCTAATCCTCGGTGGAGTTGGAGATGGGGAAAAGAGAGGGGGTGGTTAGATTGGAAAGGAGTCAGGTCCTGTTGGGACACGGAGGGTCTAATAGGAGGAGCTATATAGGCAGACCGAAGAAGAAGGGTCAGGGAAAAGAATCCAGTGTGTGGGACAGAGACGACCCGAAGACAGATTTGGCGAGCCCCAAGTGGCCAAGGAGGAATTGATCCCATTCCGTACAAACTGACGACCGTCAAAGCGACCAGGCGAGCCCTCAGGGATCGGCGAAAGAGCTCCGACTTCATGCAAAAACCAACCAGCAAGAGGGTACAGGCAGACAGTAACAGTGAGTGGGCCGAACCGGACAGCGACTCGCACTGCGGTCGCATTCCTTGCATAGTCTATCACTGTCGTGAGATTGGTGTAGTGTGGCTTTCGTAGCCTGCAGAGTGTGAGAGTTATGTGGACATAAACAGAGATTAATGGCCAAACTTTGGGTGTTGTCTCACTTCAAGGAGTTCCAGCAACTGTGTCTGTGTGCCTCACAACAAGCACAGGACGTGTGGTACTGTGGCTTTCAAGCAGTGGGAGCCACCGTGTGCGTAAGGAATGAATTAATATGCTCACCAAGCAGGAACCGGCCGTCGCGTGGCACCTGCCCTTGCTCGAGTTGGTTTCGGAGCCAGGAAAATTGCCACACGAAGGAGTCGTGCACCGACCCAGGATACCGTGGGTCGATGCACATTATCCGGCAGTCGGCGTCACACACCTGAAAGTGAGAGACATATTGACATGTAATTACCTGAATCCACAAGTAGTAGATTGTACTTATGGTTCACAAAGCAGTCGCAATTTCAGAACCTTTTTAGTTATTTTGTCTGACACATGCATGTCAACACACCTTCCTGGATGCAAGGTACAACTAACTACCTTGAAACAAAAATAATGTGTTTTTTTTTTACGGAAGCTTGCACGTTTTAACAGACAAATATTATTTTTGGGAGAAGAGTCTCACGGCTCACATGCTACGTAGAGCACACGCTCGCGCAGTCGTGAGACCCCACAGCCCGCAGTCATAAAACGGCACACTTAAACGGTATCGGCAATACTTTTTTTTTTTTTTTCTACAGATTTGGGGCGCGTTTTGACAACGTAACATGAGTGTACTTACCACCATCACGTTGAGGGCGTAGAAGGGTAGAAGTACTTGCGGCACCAGTACGCCGCCTTCGTGACGGTGGGGTCGTTCTTGGACGGGCCGACGATGGAGACCATGGTCCCGTCCACGCAACCAATGACGCCGGGTATCCTGCCGAGCAGCCTGAAGCGCTTCTCCGCGTCGAACCTCTCGCTCGGCGTCTCGGCGAAGTGGATCCAGCCACGCTGGACCTCGAGACGACGCACGATAGCGACGGACACGGCGCGGACCGCAACGCTGACTGTCTTTTGGTCCCGCGCTACGTGTTCGTCGCTCGCCACCATGCCTTGGAAGCTCCCCGTGCCGTAGAAGTGCAGTGCACACAACACTTGAAGCTCCACAGTCATGACCGTCCACGAGGTACGCACTCTCCTCACCTCCGGTTCCTCGCGAAGTTCGTCGCACAACCACCGCACCACGATCTTGGGCAGGCGGTATTGCCGGTATTGCTTCCAAATGATCTCCTCCGCGAGCTCGAATGCATCGCGGTGTTCCCGATACAGCCTTTCTGGCGAAAAAAAAAGCTCTATTAAAGAAAAAGACGAATTGACGAGACGGCGACGCCTCGCCGCCGAACACGGCGCGTTCAGTAGCGGCCCCGGAGTCAAGGAGTCACTGACTCCTTCCACTGGACGGCCAAAAGTCACTTCCGGTGCACGTAACTCCGGGGCTTCGGAGTCAAGCTCCGAAGCACCGAGTCCGGAGACGGTGCACGTGGAGTCAAAGGAGCTAAAATGACGTCATTTCCTGACTGGTGACGATTTCCGGCGCTAAAAGAGGAAAAAACAAACAATATGGCGGGATAAGCTGTTTGGTTCAGGGGGGTAAAGGTGGGTGAGGAGGAGTGGCAAATCCCGTGCGCCGACATCCTGGGTCCCGAGTGAACGAACGCAAAAGAGAGCGACAGAACACGAGAGAAAGAAAGCAACGTTGCCATGGTAACGCGAAGAGTGAAAACTCTTAGCAATATAAACAGTGATAATTTAACGTTGTAAACTAAATTATGAGCTATTCTAACGCTTATAAAAAGCAATGAACTCATTACGCTGCATTAACTTCCCTTCTGCCGAAATCTCGGAAATCTGGTGGTTGCGCAGTTTCGTATTCCTCAACCGCGCCCAGCCGCGCCCCACTGGCGAAGCCGGGTATATGGTTTAGTTTAGCGTTAACGCGAGGCCGTACATCTGCGCGCTTTTCAAAAAGAAAGCTTCGAAAGGAACGTGAATATCTTTCCACCGGTAAGTTCGTGAATTGTTGAAGTTCACGAAACTGCTCTGATGATGTAACCGTGTTTGGGACCCAGAAGGTCTGCCTGCATGATCCGCCGCTTGCGGCAGCCAGAATGTATGGGAAAATGGCGGACCTTTTCCTCTAGAGTTAGTATGTATGATCTCTATGGTTTGGTTCTATCGCGGTTGCGCGGTTTGCTCGCTTTTGTTAATGAAAAGTGCTCAAGGTAAGACGAATAACGCGTTCGAATATATTTTTCAGGTAAGGCTCTTTCGGAAAATGCATTGGACCGTATTTTGTTTGGTTTGAATATGCTAATAAACAACTCAAACGTTCATTTAATGCCGTGTCTTGATCACCGTTGCACGGAAACTCAGTAATGTTGACGATAGTCCTGTCCGCGCTCAACAGAGCAAAACAGGGTATGAACGCGACTTTGGAAGCCGGTTGGACACTCACGCAGAGCATGATACCGATTAATATTTTGTTTGCGTAGCTAAATCGGGGTGCACGTTGGCTGAGGCTGAGGCTCGCTTCGGCCGACAAAACCTTGATCGCCGAGCACGGCCGAACTTCCCGTGTGTATACGAATACATTTTATAGGAAGTTCGTTACGAAGGGCAGAACAAACTTATGGCCGTATAAAAGTATCGCAACCGGCGGGGTAGATTCGCTGAGCTCTGTATTTTGCGTGTGCTGACGACGATTTTTGTCGGCTTTTATAACAGTAGCTGCCTTTGCACCGCCAAGCGAAGGGCTTGATCGCGTTGCATCGCTTCGAACAGCAGCGATGATGTGTACAATCACCCGCTTTTTCTTCAACGACCTTGTAAAGACGTCTTCAATATCATCGTCAAATAAAAGCGATCGTGCTCGCCATCGTCTGCTTCCAGTTTATTCGGAGACCGTCTGGCACAGGGGAGGAAGCGGAAGTTGCGTAGAAGCAGGTTTGGAGCCGTGGGTTTTTTTGCCGTTCAGTAGGCGCTCCGATGACTCCGACTCGAGGCACTCCGTTCGGAGGCAAGGGAGGCGCTACTGAACGCATGACACCTAGTTCCGAGCAAGTACGTACCTTTTGAAACGTACGGTACAAAACGAAACGTCCGGTAGCCGACTCCGCCCAGTTTTGCCGACTCCGCCCACATTTTTCTAGGGAAATTACGTCACTTTTGTTTCCAACCAATCAGACGTGATGACGTCACTTCCGTGTACTAAAAAAAGGTACATGTACAATGTCGAACCTAGCTATCCTGGTGGCAAGCGACATACGTACGACACGATGTGACTATGTCCTTTGTCTGGTCAGCTCCCAATTAAACCAGGAGCAGGCTGCGCGTAAATAGCTCTAAGTTTCGTCAAAGGTGTAATTTAGTGGCATTTTTACCTTGTGAAATTTTAAGGCAAAACGCGAGAGTGGCCAATAGCGCAGGCACAGCAATCGGGCATAAACGACTGCGCCCACTAACGTTGGAGTCCCAGAGTTCTGGGATGTTTCTGGGTCAGGGGTTTCCCCAGGAATTGAAATTAGGGGGGCGGGAGTCTAAATTTTTAGGGGGCGGGGGCATTGAGAATAGAGTCCTTGCGAATTAAAGGTGCGCCTTCGAGAAAACACGAGGGGGGGGAGGGTACACCCCTCCTCTCCCCCCCCCCCCCCCCCCCCCCTTATGGGGTGTGCAGGGAAATCAGTTCTGGCTGCTTTGGCGCGACTCGGCTACAGTATTCTAGTACACTGTAACTCGGTTGCCTGCAATAAAGCCCGCCGTTGATGCCGAGAACGATGCTCTAACTTTGCACACGAACTGAGCTACACCCTGAAATCGCACAAGGTAAAATACACTACTAAAATAAGACTGATTAAAATTTGAACCCTTTCCACTCAGGCACCCATTTTTTCGACACATTTAATTGTGTCGCTTAAATTATAATATATGGGCATGGCCGACCTTCACTGCTCCCGAATCTGGAACTCTACTCTGGTCATTCCTTTGCAGTCAGGTCATTGCAAGCAAATTTTCATGACCTAGCTCCGAATGGAATACTTCCTGCAATAAGAGGATCACAGTGGCATAGCCAGGGGATGGAGCTTGTGGGGCTTTAGCCCTTTCCCCTGAAATCCCAGCTACTCCCCCCCCCCCCCCCCCCCCCCCCCCAAAAAAAAAAAAAAAATCCTGCCTACGCCTAGCTGCTCATTACGCTTCAAGTCCGATATACCAAAAAGTAATACACCATGCTTCATACTTCATCCAACAAAATAAATGCTACAACTCTATACCTTCCTGAACGATCAAAGAACTTTTGACAAACCCTAGTTGCCATGCATGAACACCTAAAACTACCTCGTTGATACACCATTACAAAATACTCCCGTCTAAAGCCAACCTGTCATCATATCTCAAATAGGCCATGGTAATTAGTAGGAAGGATTCAATGGTTTTACGCAAACCTCAAATATGACTGTAATCATCACTTGACAGAGTGTTCATAATTAAATTTTATAGCTTAATGTTTGAAATCCTGGCTTGGATGGGTCTCTCATTTTACCAGTCACTTCTTTACACACTCCATTCTGTGATGTGTGCCAACAAAAAATGAAACCAGTATTGTAGAAGAAGGGTGGTGAGCTGGGCTAGTGGGTAAGCAATACACATGGTTAAAGTCAGTGAGCAACGTGAGGAAACTGTAGAATACAGGAGACAGGATAGACACTGTCTCCTGTATTCTTCTATTTTCCTCACGTTGCTCGCCGACTTTAACCATGTATGGTATCAGTATTGGCAAGCTATGACCCCAACTCTTGAAACATCAGAAAATACAATCAAAAGTTGACCGGAGAGCAAATATGAAAAGAGAGAGTTCCTTGCTTTGAAAAGTGTGCAAAAGCGTTTTTTAAAGACACTTTCTTTTGCCTATAGCCATAGCCTTTGATGCACGCAAGCATAAGACTGAATTAACTATATATGGCAGCAGTTGCGTAAAAAGATAGAAAGGATGCAAAGTAACACATTGTACGACTAATGGCACATTTTTATGACCTCTTATTTTTTTTTTTTTACCGAGATCAGCTTTATTATAACGTCCTGAAAATATCTGAAGTAGGAAGTCAAAGAGCTCCAAAATCAGTGCTTCAAAAAATTCCAGAAAGATCTGAATGTTTACTGAACACAACTCCAAAATAACTGCATTTCTAAAAAAAAAAAAAAACAATTCTCCATTGGCATCTAAAATTGAATTAGCAGTTGAAATCCATATCGTTCCAAATTAAGGGAGAAAAAAAAATACCAACTCACACATGCACACACACACCCCAACAATGCACAAACCAGTAAACAGACTCCTGTTAAACAGCATCCAGCCAAGCAGATGCCCCAACACCCCGCCATCTCCAAACAGAGCGGCGGGGAAGCTGCACCGCCAGGCGGCAAAACCCGACTCTTTTATTGCGTGTTGCAAATACGACAATTGCAAACGATGGCGTCTGGGCCTCCCCGGAGGCAAGCTGGAGGGTCAAACAAGCGTCCCCGTCCTCACTTCTTGTTAATGTACACCACGATGGCGCTGGTTCCCCGCGACACGTTGTGAGTCTTCATGTGCACCCGAAGCCCCTCCACGTCCGAAAAGTCACGCTTGCACACTTCGCACGTCGCCGCGGGTCGCGTCGGCTCGTGTTCCGCCGACATGTGCTGCCTCAGGTGCAGCTTCTTGGGGAAGGCCTTGCTGCACAGGGCGCAGACGAAGGCCTGTTCGCCCGTGTGCTTGCGCATGTGGGCCTGGAGCCCCGCAAACTTGGCGAAGCCCCGCGAGCACACCTCGCACTGATGCGAGTGCTCGCCCGTGTGGGTCTTGGAGTGCGAGGCCAGCGCCGTGGCCGTAGCAAACTCCTGCGGGCAGATGTCGCAGTGGAACTGGCGCTCCTGCGAGTGCTTTTTGCGGTGCGAGGACAGGTTGGAAGCCGTCGAGAAGCGCAGCGGGCACAGCTCACACTTGTAAGGCTTCTCGCCCGTGTGGGTGCGGATGTGGCGCACCAGGGTGTTGTTGAAGGTGAAGGAACGGTTGCAGATGTTGCACGTGTACGGCCGCTCCCCCGTGTGGATCTTCATATGGGCGTACAGCGTTGAGGCCGCGTTGAAGCGTTTCTCGCACACCCGGCACGCGTACGGACGTTCCTTCGAATGCGAGTTCTGGTGGACCTGCGCAGGGAACAATGTGTCGCAACTGATAAGCGTGTAACGAGAGGAGTTGTTTGTGAAAAGACGGTGAGAGTGCAGGCGAGCTGGTGGTAGCTAATCATGTCGTATTACACCTGAGACTGTGGTGGAAGAAATCGGAAGAACTTTCAGTAGAAGGAACAGACACAGAGAACGTCTCAAGAGTTGAGACGTTCTCTGTGTCTGTTCCTTCTACTGAAAGTTCTTCCGATTTCTTCCACCGCAATCTCAGGTGTAATACGACATGAGGCGTTGTTTGTTGCGTTAGTATTGGAAGCATGCATATTTTGTTGCCGGAAAGGAACTAAACATATGTTTGTGGTTACGTTAGCAAGCACACATACAGAAAATGACAATGAGCTAGCAAGCAGAACGTCAGCTGCAACGGTAAAAATTTTGCGTGGGGTGCTCCTGGCAAGATAAGTAATTGGGGGTGATGACAGAACTAACCACTGCGACATCATGCACAGTTAAATTTGTAACATGTTTTGACTATTTTTATTGTCGACATACCCACTGTGTGAGAAGCGAGGAGGCATAGGAATCAGCGTTAGCGCTGATGCACATTGATTATGTAAATGGCTCTAAGATAGCAATGACAGCACGAGGGTTGAGAGGGCATTTACTTATGACAACTCAGGTTTGCTCAGAGATAGTGGCGGAACATCAGAAATATGTAGCACGAGGTATATCTACAATGGCGCATCTAGGATCAAGACAAAAACAGTCAGCGAAAGGAGAAACTGTATTTCCTGAAAGCATTGTGCTTTGCCTTCATAACAAATCGCAAAACGCAACTTTTTATTAAATGTTGGAAACCTAGGTAACGAATGTTTAACTTTCATTTTATATGGTCCTAGAAATACTGTATTTACTTGAGCAATAGCCGCACTGTTTATGAAGAAAACCTGAGGATTCGCTTTTCCATGGAGCACGCAGATTGACAATCACCGCAATCAACTGCATAATTCCAGCTGTTTACAGGACAAAAATAACGTCTTCGTGCGACGTTACCGCTTGTGGAGATTGAATTTGTATGGAAAATCGTGCTCTCGATTTGGTTATTCGCTATGTTATTTATGCGCAACGCAATGATTGGTTGTATATGTGCTATGTGGGAAAGTAGATGCAAGGGCCTTGTACAATCGCCGACCTATTTTTCGGACGCCGAAATTTCAGGCATGCCCGATTATTATGACCGTTTTCACGGAACCGCCATTGCCCCATAGAGTTAATGTATAAAAGTGACTGAAATTCTGGACAACCTACAACTCGTCCTTCAATTTTCCGGACTGATTTGCGGTCGCCAAACCGCCACCACTTGCACTTTACACTTCCCTTTGTAGCCACTCTCACCGTGAACCGAGGCGCCGCCATCTTTATTTTGCATGTAGCCTCGACACCGCGTTCTTTGCATTCTATGCGACACCGAAACGAAAACTGGATTGAGGCTACAGTCGTATTTTTCGTGCCTGCGCCGCCCGCGCCGCCCACGCACTTTCATTTCATGCTGCGCGTCGAAGTCGGTCGCAGTCACGGTCGGGTCGTGGTGTCGTGTTCGTCAACGTCCGAGAGCGACGACGTTGTCTGCCGCCGTTGTAAGTGCGCGTGCCTTCTGCCGTTTCCCCCCAAGCGGTGTCAAATGGCACCAACTGCATCTTCAACTGCGTCAACGACGCCGACGAAGACTCCAACGAAACGCGGGAGATACTCTACAATGACAATTGCAAAGAAAGCTGCCATCATCAGGGAAGTGAAATCTGGCCGCAGCCAAGCGGAAGTCGCAAGAGAATTCAAGATTTCCAAGCAAATAGTCTCTGATTACATCCGAAACAAGACGAAGATAAAGAAGGCCGCGGAAAAGTTGACCGGATCTCGACAGAAGAATGTCAGCAAGGGCAGCCACCCGAAGCTCGAGGAGGCCCTTCACACATGGCTCAACGCCACAAAAGCCAAGTGAGTTCCGGTGTCCGGTGACCTTTTGAAGCAAAAAGCAGAGACCCTAGCGCTTCAAATGAAGATCACGAATTTCAAATTCAGTGACGGCTGACTCCGGAATTTCAAGAAGAGATACGACCTTGCATTTAAAAAAATGTGCGGCGAAAGTGGTGCCATTGACAGTACAATCGTCACAAACTACCGCGCTGAAAGACTGCACGCATTACTGCGCCAGTATTCGCCGGACGACACATTTAACTGTGATACTGCGATATTATGGTACTTTCGTCTGTATTCAGTGACAGAACGACTCTCGCTGAAATGCAAAACGATCTGATCGCCCGAAGGCAAAACACCGTCCAGCAAACCATCGACCGGTTTCTCAAGCCACTTGGTATGTAAAGTGCCAATAAAGGTGTTTTTTTGGCAGATTTCACTTTTTCGGACTGCATGATTATTCGGACGTTTGCGCGATCCCCGTTGAGTCCGAAATATCGGTCCGCAACTGTACATAAATAGTGCGGCTATTATTCGAGTAAATACGATAATGACAATTTTAACATGAGCCAATCTGTTTGTTCATGATATTACACCTAAATCTGTTACACAATTTTGACTGTTTCTGCAATATAAACATTCCCTTGATCAGTTTATTTTATCTATTTAAAGATACAGTACATCGTGCTCTGTCTCATGTAGACAATCATTCAAGCATTTTAATAGTTTTCTTAAGATACATTGCAATTTGCAGTGGCACTTGTTGTGTTGCTGAAAGATGTGCTTTAGACATTTCAATTAACTTATTTCACTTATCTAAACACAAAAGTTGAGGCTGCCCGGGTGGAAAGGCTCTTGCAGACAGCTCGAGTGCCCGAGGCCTCCAAAATGCCGAAAAGCCGGCTGAATGGACATCACCCGAGTGCAGTGTTGTCAATGCCGTTTAGGGATATACACTCCGTGCGACGCGACTGGCGCGCCGCCTCGCGGCCGGTACCGAAGGTAGGCAGTGAGCACCCCAGAGAAAACGAAACCGAAACCACGCCGCGTGTGTTGGTACGCGTTGAAGTCGGAGTGGTGCTGTTGCGCTGGGTTCACAGCATGAAGTGCTGCCTGTGCTGCGTCATTAAGTGCTTCAATAGTTATGCGTCGTATCTCGTGGAGACAAAGTTTCACAGTTCTTCACCTCGCCGATGTTTTGTGGGACAGCGACAACGATGGAGCCATGCCGTACGACGCGAGAAATTCGGTCTCCCGATCATGTCTGCCACTGTGTCGGCACAGCTGACATATTCTACACTGCCGCTTTGCACTCTGCGTTTGTTTTCGTACCAGTAACGCCTACATGTGTCAGCGCCGATGGGACGGACTGAAATGCCATCCCACACTCGCGGCTATGCAGTGCCAATTTCGTTGGAAAAATACCCTCCAAAGAAGTTTCTTCCCCATCGTACGTGTTGATGATATTTCCGGACAAATATGGCACGCAATCTGTACTTCATGAAGAAAGATTTGAACGGTAAAAAAAGTGACAAATATAAATCTAAAGAAAACAACCATGAAACTCGGCATCACTGGAGAATCGGCGTTTGAGTATGGAAGTTTATGTGGTGTGCTTCCTTTCTTGATCAGCCTCCTTTTGGATGTGGAAACACTGACACCCCGAGTTCTGTAGACAACAATCTTTTTTTCTCGGCTTTAGAGCCACCTATCGCAAAGTGGTTCGAACTGGAACCACTCCACTGGTCCCTTCCTATATGTATATTGTGCACCTCCCACAATGAGTGGTATTTTCTGACAGCCTTTGACGGTCAAAGCCAGTTCCCATTTAGTTACGCCGCCCAAACTAAATTTCCACCTGGTTCCACTATGCCAACTATTTTTGTTATATAAGTGTTGTGCCAAGTGACGGTCATGTCAAAGTACCTGTGGGCCGAAAATCAGCACCTCGCACAACAGGTTATTACACAACAGCTGACCGCAAAAGCCCTTGGCGGCCAAACCGTGCGTTGGCCGAGAACTTTGTTTTCTCGGCTTTGGAACCGCCTTTCGTGAAGTTGTTTAAATTGGAAGTACAGTCTACTAGTCCCTTCCTACCTCTAAAGTTTCCACCTCCCCCAATCAGTAGTATTCTCTTGACAGCCTTTTCATGGTCAAAACCGGTTTCCATTGAGTTACGCCGCCCAAACCAAATTTTCACCTGGTTTCCCTATGCCACCTTTTATTTTTGTATAATAAGTGCTGTGTCATGTTACTGTCAAGTCCAAGCACCTGTGTGCCCAAATCTGCACTTTGCACAGCCCGCTATAACACAACATTTTGGGTCCAATATTGGATATACCGTACAGCTTTATTTCTTCATTCGTTAGAAACAACTTTCACACCTGCTGTCTTAATGAAACTTGGCACACTTCGTGCAGAAACTTAGTGGACCTCTCACTTGCCTCCAATATCATCGTTCCAGCAGTCCTACGTTTACAGCGACGACCGAAATAAATTTCCCATTCAAAGCAATTATGGTGGCGGCCGTCTTGCTTTTTCGGAAAATTGCTTCAACTCCTTTTTTTGCCGCAACTAAAGAAATTCTCTTGAATAACGACTAAAACTCAATATGTAAGAAGAGGAGAACAGCTAAATGCCCTTCTTAGGTCTGCCCCAGCATTCATGCAACGTCACCCTCAACGTATCGGCTCAAAAAGCAAAAGTTTCATCCGTGCGCGATTCCGCCACCACAGCTTGGCATGCGAAAAGGCGCCACAGGCTGCTGAACGCGCCTCACGGTCAAACGCCAGCTCCGCCGCTAGCGGCGCTGCGCGCGTTTTTCAAAGCGCCCCCTATAGTTCCCGCACGGAGTGTATACTTTAAAGGGACCATGAAGGCAATTTCAACTTTTTTTAAAAGAAGGTGTTTTCAGATGCATTGGGGTCCTGCACGCCACTCAATTTTTTCTAGTACTCTGCAACTCCTATTACTGTGCCTGCAAATAAATTTGCTAAACCGAAACAAAGACTCCGCAGCGATGTTGAGCAACACAGCGGTCTGGGAAGGAGGGCCCATATTAGTTGTTGTCAGACTTGTCACTCTGTAAGAAATGGACGATAGCGTCCACTCGGAAGTGAGTTTGGGCTCCCGTTCAGCAGCCTCAAGCCCACAAAATGGAAGATGCTTCTCAGGACGCGAAACTGTGGGTTGGCTCTTTACGGGGGCGCTCCAGACTTGCCGCCGACTCCTCGGTCGCTGCCTCAGAGCGGCTCCAGCAACTCTCCTATTCTGATCAGTTGCAAGTGAGACATCCCGTTGTGTCGACACAGATAAAAGCACCAGGCACCAAGTGCTTTGCGCCCTCCAACAATGCCCCTCAGCAGATTCACTGCAGACACTCCTCAAAACTGTGAAACGTCCGCAGTTTTGACTTAGAACCACTTTGCAGTTCTTGAGGTGGCTCAGTACTACTGTTAGTATGCTACGACGGACACATTTGCATTACAAAACTAAGCGAAAATGACGTAAAACACAAACACAGCCTACTGAATTACAAATAGCGCTAAGACAAGGACAGACGAAGAAGTGGACAGGACAGGCACTAACTCACAACTGACGGTTGTGAAAGGTTTAAAAAATAATCTAGAGATTATTTTCTAAACATTTAAAATATTATCGTATGTAGTTCAAATTCACTACATTTGTTTAATTTTTAATATTTTCGTTTTGGTCTACTGTGCTTTAGTCTTTTTAGTCTAACAGCCTTCTTAGAGCGCCCCCGCTAGAAATAGACTTATTTCTTCTTTTTTCCAACACCAGGCACTTCCTTCACCTTCGTCTTTATCGTTGTATATAAAATTATCAGTTGTGAGTCAGCGCCTGTCCCATCCACTTCTTTGTCTGTCCTTGTTTTAGCGCTATTTGTAATTTAGTATGTATAACCAACTAGCCAGCCAGAATATTTTGAAACAAACACAGTCACAAGCACAGTGAAACGAAACCAACCAAATTCAAGCCACCCTATAGCGGCAAGCGCATCAGCGCCCTCTAGCCGCCGGTCGGGTAACTACTGAGGTGAAAAGGACTATGGGAGTATGGACTCTGGGAGTATTCTCGTGACATCACTATTCAATGTGGTCCCAACATTGCGGCCTCGGTGCACACGTAGTGGCACATTGCAGCCTTCGATCTTTGCATTGTGCTGTTCTTTCCAGTCAGTTTGTTGTTCTCATGTGCATATTGTCAATGATCACTGTGCTTCTGTTATTGTCTAGACACGCTCCATTAAGCGAGTGTGTATAGACAGCTCATACATAGCTCTGCGAAGGCGCACTACCCCGAGAAATTTTGCGGTTGTAATGGGCAGGATGCGCTTGGGGGAAACGCTGATGCACCAAAGGTAAAGTTAGTGACCTCAAGGAAGAGGCAATTTTTATGATAATTGTATATACTGACAGTCATTCCAGCTTGATATCATAAGATCAAATCAACAAACATTTGTCAACTGCATTCACTCAACATACACTTAGGAGTGCATCTAGCTATTTAGCAGATCATATATTTCCAAACTGAGTGTCTGTCCCCGTAAAGAATATGAGAAATAATTTTACCATACCCAAAAAATAATAACCAGCTTAGAAAAAAAAAGAAAAAAGAAGAGGGGGCCCAGAATGTTTTGCATGGGCTCTATAATGTGTAGTGCTTAAACGACTTAAAGGGACACTGCAATGAATTTTCATTTTTTCTGAAGGGACACATATATTAAAAAAATAATTTAACCCCCAAAATAATTTTTTTTCTAGCAATATTTACGCCGCTAGATGCAATTTAGGTGCAGAATGTGGAGGTCGCAGCCCAGCCCCGTGCTTATAACATGCTGACATCTCTTATTGGCTGGAGATGATTGATGTGTGAAAGGTCGGTTGTAAATTTAGATCTCCAGGCCGTAATAGTATTTTAATAGACTTCTCTTATGTTAAAGAAACAATAATCTAGATAGAGTAATTATTGTTTTCAAAATATCCTGAAACTGCCTTTCCGCTTCGGTTTCAAACGATAACAAACATGGCTGCCGGCTTCTGCGGAGTGCTGAACGAACGTAACTCGTTGAGGTCGCCAATTTTTATGAGTGCAGGTCGTTTTGATTCACAGAGGTGTTTAGAGGAAGATCTCGTCAACCGACGTAGTTTGCAGCAAATAACTGTCGCAAGTACACGGCCTCGGAAGCGCTCTGCAGATGCCTGTTTTTCTGGCGAAACTGACCGAAGCCTAGCGTCCCGTATTCACTATTTTGATCGATCTGGCTTGATTTCTTACTTTGACCGTGTTGATACTGAATAAAGATATTGGTTCCCGTAAAAGCGGCCCCGCTGCTGGGTGAATTGTGCAACCATCGTGATTGCAGCCATGGTTTTAATACCGAGAAGATACCTACACAGATAAGAATTTGCAAGCCATCTAGTTGGAGGCAATCGGGCGTTCGGCTCGCATCAAGTTAGTCCACGTATGTTCCCGCCATTTCGCTTCGAAAGGCAAGTAGCTCTCAAGTTTTGCAGTGCACCTGGCCTACCCAAGCGAATAATTTTAGGTCACATTTTAATTGCGGGTCATGACGCTTTCTCACCTTGCTAAACAGATGCCATGCGAAAAAAATAGCAAGAACATAGAAGCTGAAAGGACAGCATACAGCATACTTATTTTGTTGCTTTTCTTAGTCCTCTCGGTCACTTTTTACCGCACATCACCAGATGCTGACAGTTGCTTGTATTGGTCCGTCGCTCGCACATGATGGAACGCTAGAGTGCCGCTTTCAAGGTAGAGTCTTGCGAGCGTTGCAAACATTTTTAGACGGGGGCGGAATGGCTGACGGACGAAGGCGACAACGGACGCCAACGGGCAGCGTTCATGTCTGCATCAGACATGAACACTGCCCGTTGGCAGATGACGATAGATGGTGGCAAAATAGCGGACGATGCCGGAAACCGCTGTGCTTCTGCTCGCACAACTGGGCACAACCAGCAGGCGTTGTCAGACGCCAGACTAGACACCCCGGATGCTGGGAAAGGGAGACACCAGGCTTGTTAGCGCATTTGGCCGAGCAGCCAAGCCAATTCAGTAGTAATGGGCGGGGCAACCGATTTGAGGGTGGGGCTCAGAGCAAGATGTAACCTCCACCTAAATTGCATCTAAAAAAATAAATATTTCATAAAACTTTTTTTTCCGTGGAAAAATTAAATTATTTAAAATATATGTTCCAAATAAGATTTTAAAAAAAAAGTTTTTTCTTTGGCAGTGTTTGGTTTTGTTTTTTTTTTGTTTTTTTTTTTACATGAAAGGCTAGCCTTTCACATTAAGTCAATCAAGTCACAGAGTCCCACCTTGTCTCTTAGAAGCTGGTGGCATCAGACACCAAGTGCTTTGGGCCTTCCAACAATGCCCCTCAGCAGATTCACTGCAGACACTCCTCAGAACAATCGGCTGATATTTCTATCCTTTGTTTTTTTTTTTTCCCCACTGACCCCATATATTACATTCAGGACGAAATAAACTAAACTCCCATTTATACCGGGTATCCCTATCATTAGCTTGTTTTCAAACCGATCGTGGCACAGCTGACGGCACAGAACAGCTGCTCCCAACTACGGCTGTGACCACACAGACATTGGTTGAATGCGATTTCGCCTTTCGCGGCGCAGTGTTTCGAGCAGGGGGATTACGCCCTATTGCAAAAGGAAGCGCGAGGAAGAAAGTAGAGGGGGGGGGTATGGTGCCTGGAGTGCATCTTCAACCGATGTGTTTGCTGCACCCTCAAAAGTGGCACCTAAATTTACGCCCAAAAATCTTGCGGCGTTGCCTGTCGCGATAGTGGTGGTGGCACGGCGGCAGTGGTGGATGTAGCAGCCACCCGTTTTTGCTACGGGTCACTCTGAAGCCAGACAGAATCTACGGATAGTAAAGTGTACGAGAGTTGGAACCAACAGTAACGGCAGCCCTTGTCTCCCTTGCGCTTTTCCGCCAGCATTTTCTACGACCGATTTCCGCGACTCCGACATCTAACGGCAGGAGATAACAGCTCTCGCGACAAAACTCATTGCCACTTCGCGACCACTTTCACACTTTCGATGCGAGGGAAGGATAGGGCAGCAAACGCTTCAATCGAAGACGCGCTCAAAGCACAGTGGCGGGGGTTCCTTTTTTCTGCTTGCAAGTCCGTCTTAAAGAGGTAGCTGGAACGCATTATCCAACGAGGCTATGGTCTCGGTTGCGACCAGCCTTGCGGCCCCCACCTTGAAGTTGGCGGGGTCCTTGAAGGTCTTGTTGCAGACGGTGCACATGAAGGGCTCCTCCCCAGTGTGCCTCCGCATGTGCACCTTGAGCGAGGTGCTGTGCCGGAAGCACTGGCCGCACACCTTGCACGGGTAGGGCCGCTCCCCCGTGTGGATGCGCCGGTGGCGCCGCAGGTGGAACACAGTCGTAAACTCCTTGCCGCAGTCGGCGCAGCCATGCTTGGGTCCGCCCAGCATGCCCTCTGTCGAGACCTCGCCACCCTCCGGCCCGCCGTCGCCCAGCAGGCAGCGGGTCTGCTCGTCCACAGTGATGATGTCGCCCAGCACCCAGATCTCTCCCCCCTTCTCGGATGACTCCATCTGCGGAGGGCACCGAGGGTTCCGTGAGATGGGTTCGCGGTTCTCTCTGCACTTTCCCGGAAGCCACCACTGTCGACCAGCATCCCTTTCATGGTGACGAAATCGGCGGTTGTGACGAATGCTTTCGCTGCATTTAGTTGCGCGACAGTTTATTTAATATTAATTTCAAATACCCCTTGGGCCACGAGGGCACTGCAATGGGGAGTGGATTAAAGGGATATAAAACAAAGACAAAAACCACAACAAATTCTAAGAATGCAAATAATTAGCCCCTAACAAATTACTAAAATGCCGACATTGTTAAGGCAGTTTTGAAGGCGATGCCACCAGACAAAGTTACCACAGATGCCGGAAGTTTGTCCCACGAAAGCGTGGTTCGGGGTATGAATGAACTGGGAAAAGTTGTAGTTTTACACGATGGTATGCCTATCTTCTGTTGGTTATCAAGATGCAATAATATGTAGAAGAGAAGCATTAGTAGCTTTTCACGTGAGAGAGGAATATGATAGATGTGGTGGCAAAGGAACCAATTGAACTGTGTTTGGGTCATAGGGCTGGATGCAGTTGGTCCTTTTGCCAAGTAACCCTATCAAAACGAGCAAACATGACATAACCCGTGCAAGGTGCAACCACCAGTCAGATCAGCGGATATATCTTTTTTTACAATATGCAGCGTTACGCCACGTGACTACCTCGAACCTAATAACAATGAGCTAGGTAACTAGCATAACCGAAATTATTGAGATTTTTGCAAATGTATGATCTAGAGTCCCACGAGATTATAAATAACAGACAATTACAATTCCTCTTCATGGTGATATATTTTTACGCTGCACGCCATACATTCAATGTGCAATGCTCACTTCAACATGTCATTCAGGAACCTACGAAACTCACTGAACCTACTCCTTACTACTCCCAATAAAAGTAGACATCCTTAACTCATGCGATCGAGTGCAAACAACTTTTGCTGCGATTTTTATTTCTAGATTCATTTTGTTCCTAGATTCTTTATTGGCCATGAGCAGTGGCGTACCAACTTGTTTTTGAGTGGGGGGGCAAACCCGACCCTCTTCCCCCCCCCCTTCCCCCCTTAATCGAAAATTCGGCGCAACTTTTGTCGAAGTTTTCTAAAGATGTGGCAATGATTCGGCAAAATTACAACGTTACCAGACTTAATATTGATATTTTGTTTTTTCTTACGAAAAAAATTTTGCTTCTTCTTCTTAAAATAAATACAACTTGTAGTGCCTATTGAAACAGTTATGATTAAATAAGGTGATATTCTACAAGATAATTGTATCGATGTCGCTTTTGTGTGTTTACTGGCAATTTTAGTGTTTGCTTGCAGAAAGTGGCGTGACAACGAGGTTGGGTAGTAGCCGGAGCAGTCACGAATCACACTACGAGAGTTTTTATTTTGAGGCTTCATCAGCGCACGCCTGCAAGTGTGTTTACATTGTTAAAATAAAGACAATCACTGCGTTCTTACTTTCTCTGGGAGTCACCGTTTCGTGCGCGAAAACGGATGCAACGGTTGTTTAGCCTTCACCAGAAGAGATAACAATACTGTAAATATGCATGTTTTTCGATTTGAGTCACTTGACGTCAGCTTTGCATGAAAGTGCGCGTTCCATATTCGCAACGTGCCGTTTTTAACCTTTAAAATTCCGGTTTCTGGTGTTAGGACACACACGGACGTTTAGGAAGATGGGGAGAGTTAGGAATGTCGGATGTGCAACGTCGAGCATGATAGTTCTGTGTTTAACGAATACTTTTCATCAGTGTTTACTAACGAGTGCTTGGACTTCGTCCCCACTCTCCCTGAAGAGCTTTACGAGCGCATGCATCCTATTAACGTTAACTCCGCTGGTATTAAAACATTGATTGATAAACTAAAACTTACTTCGTCCGCTGGAACCGATAACATCAACCCTAAAATTTAAAAGAAACACCCGTGTTATTTCTAGGGAGTATTTGAAACTCATCTTCATTCAGTCCTCATCTCAAAGCTGCCTTCCATCTGACCAAAAGGTGGGAAGGGTAATTCCCAGTCTTTAAACAGGGCAGCCGCTCTTCCGCATCTAATTATCGCCCTAATTCATTGACTTCAATTTCTTGCAAACTACTTGAGCATATCCTCTACTCCAATGTCATGAGGCACCTATCATCCCATTTCTTTTCTTTAAACAGCCGCACGGTTTTCAAAAGGTACTTTCCTGCGAAACGCAACTCTGCGACTTCATCCATGACTTGCACAGTAACCTTGAATGTCACGTCCAAACTGACGCAGTTTTTTTTTTTTTTTTTTATCCAAAGCGTTTGGGCGTGTCCTCCATCAACGCCTTCTTTCTAAGCTATCATCTTTTTGCCTCGACCAATAACCGTTTGCATGGATTCGTGACTTTCTTTTTTCCCGTGTACAGGTCACGTCCATGATGATCATGAATCTTCCTTAATAAATGTATCTCCTGGTGTTCCCCTGGGGTTCGTACTTGGGCCCTTACTCTTTTTAATATTTATTAATGACATTCCCATTGGGATTTCTTCAAAAAAACGCTTTTTCGCCGGCGACTGCGTCATCCATAACAAAGTATCTTGTGTGCAAAATAATAACCAGCTTCAGGAAGATCTAGATAAAATTAACAATTGGTGCAAAGAGTGGATTATGTCACCAAACAAGTATAAACGCAAACTAATCCACTTCACCAAGAAAAAAACCACTCTGTCATTTAATTACTTCTTGGACTCCGATCTGATTGAGACCGCTACTGTGTATAAATACCTTGGTGTAAGACTAACATCTGACCTTCCCTGGAATAACCACATTGAAGTCATTACCGCCGATTCATCTGGAACTCTTGGACTAAGCAGACGTAACTTAAAAAATCGCTCCACCCTTTGTCCCTAAGCTAACCTTTAACACGTACGTCAGACCAAAAATAGAATATGCTTCAACCATCTGGAATACCCATCGACTGTACCTCATCAATACGCTGTAGAGGCAGTTCAGAACGGAGCTGCTCGCTTCATTTCATCCACTTATGACTTTTCTTTCAGTGTCTCGGCGCTAAAAACTGAACTAACCATGTCCTCTTTGCAGCTTCGCAGGAAAGTCTCTCAGCTGTGCCTTATTCACAAAATCTACTACCACATTCCCGACCTCAAAACCACTTTGTTATTACCCCTCGACCGAACATCTTCTGGCCTCAACAACGTCTGCACCATCAAACACACTTCTGGCTCTACGAACGCTTTCAATTGGTCATTCCTTTCTCAAGCCGTCAGCCACTGGAACAGTCCCCCATCCTCCATTGTCACCATCTTGGACCCTGCTGATTTCTCCTCTGCAGTAAAACTACACCTTTCTTGGCCCATGTGATGGTGTGCGGGGCTAGGCAGATCAGTGAAAACACTTACGCAGAGCGCTTGCCAGGCCAGACTTGTACGTAGTTCAACTACTTTACTCAAGTTACTGTAGTTTAACTACTTTTCTGGGTAGTTTAGTAACTTTTAATTACATTTCTATTCTAGTAATCAGTAGTTTACTTTAACTACTTTTCCGAGTGACTTCCACTCAAATTACAAATTACTTTCTAATTTTAGTGGTTGTTTTGCCTATCAACAGAGAACAGAGGTCGGAAGGTCAGCTGATATTTGCAGAGGGGGAAGCATGCGGAGTAGAAAAGGGGGGGATGGGAAGGAAGAAAGTGATTTAGATAGTCCAAAAAACCCCAAAATTTTAACGAGCCCCCCCCACTGCAACAACACTGCTACGAGGCGCGGGGAGCGAACAGACACGACGCAAGAGAGGTCGAGTAACTGTGGGATTAGCTCCGAATAGTGGCGTTTCTTTGTATTCCGAAGCTCAAGGAGACTTGACGCATTTGAAGAAAGGGCTTGTCCCCGCTTCTCTCCAATGTAGGAATTCTTGCCCACTACAGGAGGTGCACACACTGCTCCTTTTACGGTGCAGGCGATAGAACCCCTAAAACGACGCTCACGCCGGATGGGCTGCTCGTGTATCACTCGAAGCGCGTTAACCCACCCCCGCGCCTGCGTTCACGCCGCTTCGCGGTGACGGTGTGCGGCTGCTAATTACAAATCTATTAACCCACCTAGCCTCCCCCCCCCCCCCCCCCCCCCCCCGTACACGCCGCTTTGCGGCGTCCGGTCGGCAACCCAAGCCCCGCTGCCCCCCATGCACTTCCGTAAATAGAGTCGATACGATTTAGTTTAGCGATGTTTCGTCAACAACATTCGTTTTTTTAGTGTTAATGGTAAAAAAGAAATGTAAATATCGCCAAATGCCTCGACAAAACAAAATGTTCGAGAAAAAAAATAAAAAGAAGTAAGCCGGCCCACACCATAAATAGAACCCGGGTCTGACACGTATGAGGCAGACATCTCACCACTAAGTTACGCTACCTCTTCGGAAACTCGCATTGCATCCGCTGCCTATGTTGACGGCGGCAGCGCCTATCTCCAAGCAAGCAAGCAAAACTTTATTTTGTGTAAGGGCCTACGTCCTGGTCTGGACGGCCCGTCCGGCCCATGTCTCGCGGATGGATTCCGTAAGGTTACCGTGTAGCCTTGTTCGTGGAGCAAGGCTTTACGAACCAGCCAATCCGGCGTGCGTGAGCACCGTTGCTAGGGTTTGTATCGCCTGCGCGTTAAAAATCTGCCCGCGCGGGTCGGGGGGCAGTGCCCTTGGTATTCCTTGGGCGCCGCCGGCCTGTGTCTGCTCTGCCCAGTGGCGGCCGTTTCAGGGGGGGCAAAACGCATGCCTTGCCCCCCCACTCTGAGAACTGGGGGGGCAAGTGCCCCCCTTGCCCCCCCGGTTGGTACGCCCATGGCCATGAGGTTAAGCGAGTGAGACATCAGCAAATGATTGCCATCTGCGTCACACTGTGACAGGAATTGGATACTAGGGCTACGTCCGCGTTCGGCCAGGACTTGTCTCCAATTGGCCAAGACGCAAGTTTCGGCCAAATGCCGACGTAGCACTCGCATCCCATTCATGCCCTTCGTTGACTCTTTAGGCGACGCGAAAAATTCGGCCTTCCGGCCTCATTATCAGGAGGCGTTGTTGCGGCTCAACTGCCCACGAACAACGTCCCAGCAGCGCATCTGCGGCGGGCACAGACCTTGCAGAGCAGCGCTGCGCCGCCGTCGTCCATGGCGACGCCAGAGCCCATCGACTCTTCGTCCAGCCCCTCCTCGTCCTCCACTTCCTCAACAGTCTCCACCACCGTCCCCTCGAACTGCATTCCTTCCTGGTCATCGGGCAGCAACACCGCCTCCGTGGTCACCATCCCGGTCACCACCTCCTCCTCCTCGTCCTGACCCTCGTCCTTGGTCAGCATGCGGCACGTGGGCAGGCCCCCCGCCGACATCTGCACCAGCAGGGTGCGGGGGCTGGGGTGGCCGTCGGCGGACATCATGCGCCCGTCTCCACTTCTGTGCCCCTGGGAGATGGACCCTGTGGCAAACGCCAGGTTTCGCGTTTAAACAACTGTGCTCGTCAACCTCCTCTGCCATTGTGCCCTCTCTAACGGCCTCCAGCTGACCCGGGTCCCGCCAGTGGCACCCTGTTCCGGCTAAAGTTTCGGAGCGGAGAACTGTACATGCTTGTTGACCCTTGAATCCTACACGAATACCCTGGGGAAAGGGACCCTGCAGTGAACGCCAGCTTTTGTGTTTTGACACGGAGACTCGTAACAGCCCTCGCCGACCTCCTCTGCCCTTGAGTCCTATCCAGCCTCCGACCGGCTCATGTCTAGTCGGTGACTGTTATTTGTGACAAGCACCAAGGGAAAGGTGCATTTGTAACCATTGATGAGTTGCTCCCTTTGAGGGAACTGCTTTGGACGAGCAATCTGACGCGATAAACATCTGGCTTGCACGGGGCGTCGTCGCAGCGTACAAACACTCGCTCCTGCTTGTTCTTGCCAAGAAAAACAAAAGCAGTGGCGCAAAATGTACACTGCAAGACGTATGCACGCAGGAGCGAGGTCTTTTGCAATGGCCGCTAGTATGATGCCTGTGTGAGCCACGTATATAAAGAATGCCAGAATGAAATGTGAAAAGATCCACGGCGTTGACATTGCAAGGAAGATTGAGAGGAATTCTGACCAATGCAATAGCGCAAGCAAGTAGCATTGTTCATCCGAGACAAGCGCTTTAATTGCGAGAGCGATCGCACTGAGCATGCTGACCAGCTTGCGTACCCAGGAGAAACATTTGCAAGGAGAATCAGGCCAATCGACATTGATGTCGCAATAAAAAAAGTATAGACAGAAATTACCGTTTCTTTTCTACCATTTTTGTATGTGCAAAATCAAAAGAAGCCACCCACTTGCCCAGAATAACTTGGTCCCTTGAACTGACCCACAGCTACAGTAAAATACTGTGGAAGCGCCCACTTCGTTTAAGCGCCCACTATTAATAGTGTTCCAAACTTCGGAATTCTGCAAATTATATGCTAAGCACCCAATTTGATCGGACAAGCGCCCACGTCTAGATTGATCCAGATTTCAGTAAAAATGGAGTAGGCACTCCCCCAGTATTTTACGCTACAGTATGCTTAGAGCAGGCAAAGACCATCCGCTTTTTCGCTTTAAAAGGAGCCCAGCCAAAAACAGCAACAGCACCAAGAGGTAACAGGCATGTAGGAAGGACAAGCACAAAATCGAAATGGACAAGAGGTGCAAATGATACACGCAGCATGCCTTTCCCATTATGTTTCGACTGCAGCGCAACCCCAGTCACACTGCATACGATGGTCCTTCCAGAGTATCCCCCATTTTCTGCTCCCCAATGTCACCACTGAGCTGGCCTCTAAACAAAACATTTCCCCGCATCCATTCGGTGCAAGCGTGCACACACTTCTAAATGGCTCAAAATGTCCCAGAAATCACATCATTTCACTTGCAACTTCAGCAAAATGGACACTAAGCAGTAATGCCTTTTCCCACAGAATGATATGCTGCCACTCAAGGTAAAAATAAGATGGCACACTTGGGATTTACAGTTGGTTAACTGTTCACCCCTACATGTATCAAGGTTGTATGTTTATTCATCTGCTACCACTATGCATACATACAATAGAATAATGCGCATTGTAGTTCCTGATGGAGATATATATGAAGGGCAAAGAGCACAAGCTGGAAGCTGGGCCATCCCGAAGAGACGCCCTGCAATTCTCACTTTGTCGACGACTACTGTCACGTGAACCTCGGATGCCTAGAACTATTTGTATCCATGTACTTCATGAGTGACATATTGCTAGTTGCACAAAGTGTGAACATTAAAGAAAAAAGGGAGCATAAAACAGGTGTTACAGATATTGAAAGGTGGCATCTATGGCCAAAGTGGGAATCCCTCTCAGCCGACTGAAAGCTGCAGTGTGTACACCCAGTTCACCCTTAGGTAACAGTGTGGTCAAAGATACTGGACTTTCACCGTATGATCACGCTTCCGCCCATGCTCATGAGCAGAGGGGGGCACTTAATGAGAGGGACAATTGATTGGTATGGCAAGTGCATAGTTCCCACGGTGCCTTAAGCTACATAGGGGTTAACAAATTATACATGGCTTGCATGTGACGTCATTTCACTGTACCACTTCCTACTTGTTTTTGTCGAGAAAAACAAATTCGACCGTACGAAACGCATGCTGCAGAAGGTATGTGCACAGCAGCGAGGTCCTTCCCAATGGCCGCTGCGATTCCACTGAAGGGGTGTCAGTGCAAGTCTATACCTGTTGTGTTGATTCCAGTATAACTCTGGTAGAATCTAGGGCCTTTGATAGCTGAGTGCCACTGAACAAAGCACTGTTTTAATAAAATGAGTTCTGCTTTCAACCATCAGTGAATGAAAGGTAATTTGCTTGGGAGTGAGACACCAGTGAACAAGCCTAGTCTTTGAATGCAGCTCCTCAATCTTGAAAACTGTATGAAGAAGTCCGTGCTGTCCAAAGGGAACGTCAAGTGTGTGCTATGTCGCACGCAACTGACCAACACCTTGAATCACAAACGACGGGAAACCATCCCGGCCTTCATGGTTTGGGGAGATCCGTGACCTTGGGGAAACGAGCGCGTGGCTCCGGAAAACGTGACTAGAATCCAGGAGTTTTTAATTCAAGTTGGTTCAAAACTTCCTAGGGCAGTGACTTTCATTGGCAATTGATCAAGTCACACGAAGGGCAATGTTACAGAAAACCACCTTGTATTACATAAGGTGTAGCCCCTCCCATGCTTCAACCACGGAAGCAGAATGAAACAAACAAAAACGATTCCGTTAGGCTTAATACTTTAAAACTTTGATAACGACGGCGGTTCGCGCTTTGGAAGTTTTCCGATATCCTCAAAGTTATCAGACTTTTCATTTTTGGTCAGATTTTGGAAAACTCGTAGCGGTATGAAGCAGGCAAGTGTGAATACGAAATATAAAACTTGACGTGCCATAAAGCTCGTGGTCTAGAGATCAAATCGGTCCCAGGAATAAGAACGGCTCGGGCGTTGGTAACTGTACAGTGTTGTACGGTTGTACCGGCAAGGTTTATCGAAAGCATGCAGAGTGCAGATAACGTCAATAACGTTGTGCACGGCGCCCGAGCAGTTGCCAGAGCAAACTTGCAAAATATTTTTCGAGGAAAACAACAATGGGCAGCCAGGGAAATCGTGGGAGCGGAGGCTGGGGGCGGCCAGGAACGATACCGCATGGCCGTTTTTCCTGCGAGTTCGTGGCTGGTTTTTGGCTCGAAATTCGCGTGATGTTTTCGGAAGACGCTTACCTCAAGTTTAGAAGCTCTCGGTTCGCTGTGGTGAAGAGTCAAACGCTTCAAAACGGTGAGGCCAGGAAACAAAAAAAAATAAACGACCAGTGTGGCTACCTCGTATCCAAGCCTAAATTTGTCGTAAAACCCAACAATGCCCTTTGGTCGATGCGCAAGCAGCACTGAGGTCGTGGAGATCAGCCGAACGTAGGACCATAGTGCGGTAGTGCCGTAGCTGGCTGACACCTGGTTAGCCGCAGTTGCGCGGTTGCGCATGCGCGCTGGGCGCATCTTTGAACATTTCGAATGTGCTGTTCGCGCGCGTTCGTGCGAGGCGTGCGATGATGCAACCCACCATGTAATCCTCGTGCGACACGCTCGTGCTCGTATTTGCCATTTTGTGGATGTCCCAAACTGACATCCACAGAATTGTGTTGCTTGCATGTTTAGACATCCTTGAAGTTAGAACGCCTTAACGGGTGACTTTTAATTAGCTGCAGATGAGAAGTTTAGCCAGTGCAATATAACCGCTAACCTGTGCAATAAAACCTAGAAGGCCTAGAGCTTGGGGTGCTATGTTGCGCTTTTTGCACTCCCAGGAGACTTGGAAGAGGGAAGTGACGTCAACGACTAGAGCAAACGCAGATTGGATGTTGACAGAAGAAAACAAAATCAACATCCAATCTGCATTTGCTGTGTTGTTGACGTCACTTCCCTCTCCCTATTCTCCTGGGAGTGCAAAAAGCGAAACATAGCCCCCCGGTCTGCCTCAACAAGCGACGAGTCTCCCAGCTGTAAAGAAAAAATTTAGCCAGTGCAGTACAACCGGTAGCCTGGGTCTTGAAAGATGCCCATCCAGTTCGAAACGGGCTGGGGTTGGTCTGCAGCGCGAGCTTTCGCTCCCCGTGCTCCGAGCTGGGGTGCTATGTTGCGCTTTTTGCACTCCCAGGAGACTTGGAAGAGGGAAGTGACGTCAACGACACAGCAAATGCAGATTGGATGTTGACAGAAGAAAACGAAATCAACACCCAATCTGCGTCTGCTGTGTCGTTGACGTCACTTCCCTCTTCCTAGTCTCCTGGGAGTGCAAAAAGCGCAACATAGCACCCCTGGTGTGCGCTAGCCCACTCGGTTACCGATCCTCCATGCTAGCCTGGGTGTTTAACCGGGGGGGCTATGTTGCACGTTTTGGACTCCCAGGAGACTAGGGAGAAGGAAGTGACGTAGGTGTGAATGAACGTATCTTAGCAGCACCACGCAATGCGTCATCGGCGACTCCACCAATCAACATCCAAAGAGCGTTGTCAACGTCACTTCCTTCTCCCTAGTCTCCTGGGAGTCCAAAACGTGCAACATAGCCCCCCCAGTTCAACGTGTACCACGCAGTAGCGATTACCGAACACGTGCCGGTACGAAGCACATCCAGATCGAAACGAGCGGGGAGTGGGGATCGAACCTAGGAGGTTCTGCACACTGTGGTTCTGCAGCGCAAGACATCCACAATACACCCACGCCGGTTTTTGTACGAAGCTTGGAAATGATATTGCAATCTGGAGTGACCTGTCCTTCCCCTCAATATGCCCAAATTCCGGATTTACAAATACTTTTTTTCAGATTTTTCTACCTTACCCGAAAACCGGAAACCCCAGTATAAGCGATGACAAGCAAGGTCCTCTGGCCACGCACCGGTATTGCGCCATGCTTGCAATTGTCTATTAAAGGACCACTCTGGGATATTTCGATACCCCAATTTAGAGTAGACCATCCCTTTTATCGGATCTTCTCGACGCAATGCTGCCAACCTTTGGTAGTGTAGACCTAAGGGAGACCATGGGCTGCAAGAAGAGCAAGCCCCTCTACATATGCCAATGATGGCAATAGTTGGTAGCCTAAGTCACTGGACAGCAAAATTCAGTGGCAGTTAAAGCACCTTTGATATGCAGTACCCTTGGACATCTGTAATGTTTTCCAACTCGACATACCAGCCCATCAGGCAAGCCGAACCTAACTATGCGCTGAGAGACTGAGGGGACGTCAAAAAGCAGAGCTCCGATTCGAATGATTAGTGGGTAGACCTAAAGCAAGCTGCCGCTGTCTTCACCGCACTCATCCGACGCATTTGAATGCGAGCCAAACGCCAGCATTCTGCGTTCTAACGTATTCGACAAGTGCAGTGGAGACAAAACCAGCTAGCTTTAAGTCTACCCAATATAATCGTTCCAATCGGAGCTCACTGTTCTGGGGGGCTATGTTCGACAAATGTTTTGTTTCTTTGAAAAAGAAACGGAAGTTACGATATCGCGTCTGATTGGCTGGAGGCTCAAATGACAAAAGTTGCCTCTTTCGTCATTTGAGCCACTAGCCCAGTGGTCTCAAACTCATTTGAGTGTGGGGGCCAAATAGCCCACTCACGAAAGGTCGAGAGCCAGCAAGGGGGGTATTTTGCTATTTTGAGACAGCAAAGAACAGCAGTGGTGTTTCACCTTGCGTAGCACCTGAATGTACCAGACATTTTCTAGAGAAGGAGCATTGCGCTCTCTGCTTTTTATAGGCTTACCATCTTGCCATCTTTAGCTTTCATTTGAATATACAATTACCGTGGACCCACCTAATGTAATAGCACGATTTAAAATGCTAACGTATTGGCAGTTTTTCATAGAAAGAGAACAAGCACTCTCCCTGTTGCACAATTCACTAGGCTCAACAGGCATAGAAAAAAGTATCTCTTCATAAGGCAGTTTTTGCTTTTAAATACCTTAAAACGCTTCAATTATAAAAGCATTGTCTGAAAGCTAGAAGCCCGAAAACCCGAGCTCATAGCTTTATCGTTAGCAATTGTTCCTGCCGAGTGAGAGTTTGTGCAGCCGAGGTGCCTCCTTGAGCAAAGAACTCGAGCTTGTAGCCTAATAGTTGAATTACCATTTTAGTTGGTTTACATAAGAGGCCGAGAAGCAAATATTTAGACGAAGCAGTACTCAGTTCAAAATAAAACAATGAAGAATGTGTGAACACATTATATGAGCAAAGCAACCTTTTCAGACGGTAACAAATCAACAATATTAAACTATTATTTTTGGCGCATGTAATGCTCGAGGCATGGGAACAACGGCTGGCCGCCGCTGGAAGCATCCGAGCTGCATCCCAGACAGTCGCGGGTCACATGCAGCCTGCGGGCCGCCTGTTTGAGACCCCTGCTCTAGCCAGTCAGACGCGATATCGTCACTTCCGTTTCTTCTTAGGAGAAACAAAACATTTGTCGAACATAGCCCCCCTGAGGCCTCCGTGCACTCTCGTCTCCTCCTCTCCCTCAGTTTCTCGGCGCATAGGCACTCCCAGAATGAAAACACCAAGGAAATAATTCAATTGTCTCGCCCCCTCTGTGGGCTTCCTGCCTTCGATAACGCTTTGGCGCCTTCCGAGCCAAGGGACATCGGAAGGCAGCGAGGGTATGCTGGAACTCGGGCACCCACAGAGGACACTCTGCCGCTCTCAATCTCTCGGGCACTATAGCAGAACACTACTTCTACTTTTTCGAAAGACTTCAGAATGTGCAAAGTGATACTTCTCCGCCAAATAAAGTTAAAGTTGAAGTCCGCCCAACTGTCTTCTGTTTGGATGTCCACCTGGCAAAGATCACGGCTCGCCTCCTCTGCTTTTCCACGATGTCAATGGCTGTCCATCTGTTCTGCCCCGCAAATTGACTGACAGCACACAGAGCGCGTGGGTGACTATCTGGGCCCACGTGATGAGCATGCTTTAGGCCTCTGTGAAAGACACAAGCGGACTTTGGCGAAAAAGAGCTTTCCCCTCTGCAAAAAAAAAAAAAAAAGGACGGAGGCGGATCGCTACACTTCATATGGCGGAGAGGCGTCGCTTTGCACAATCTTGAAGTGTCCTGTTGGCACAGCCCTTTAGCTCTTCCATGCTGATCAGCCATGCTTGTGCCACGGAGGTGCATCGTCAATCTGAAAGCGTTTCTTATCAGCATTCGTGATATATGCGCTGCACAAAGCAAGTTCGTCTCACTGGCTTAGCTCTGCCGACCTGCCCGAGTGTTGGCCAGTAATCATGGCGCTGTTTCATCGTCGCACACAACAGACCATAAAAGCAAAAGCGGCTTAATCAACCACACAGTGTCCGTAGTTGGCACTCCAGTGCACTAAGGTAGGTTCAAACATTCGTATCAATTGCGTTCGCAGCAAGTGAAACAACAAAATCGCCGCGATAACTGTGCCTCATTTTCCGCATAGCAACCAGTTCATGAAGTAGTTGGGTCCGTGAAGTTGTTAACGCAGCTTGTGATCAATGAATCGTAGGTGGAAAAGAACATGTGTGGAAACCTTTTCTACTGATTGCTTTTCGCAGCTACCCTTTGCAATGGTTGCCGCGCAATGTATGGTGTAATGTTGTTGTCTCCGGAACCAACCAATAGTTTCGCTTACCGAGTTTGTTTCCAAACTATGGGAATAGACGTTGGCAGATTTAATAATACAATGATTGATCTAAATTGCCTCCATTAGCTATAATGCTGTTCAAGGAAATGCAGTGAACCTCCCCAAAAAAAAGTACTCAGTACCAGCAGAGTGGAAGTATAGCTTATCATGCATGTATTTGCTAATTGAATACAAGAAACAGTAAATACCAGTTTGTAAAACTTCTATATACAATTAATAGGGAAGATCACACTATGTGTCAGTGATTGGCGATTATGAGCAAAAAGAAATGCTTAGAGAATTGCAGGTGTTTTGTCTAAGGACAGGAAAGTTTAGAAACGGAGGAAAGAAACTGTTCAGGTAATGCATGTTCTAAGGAGGCTCGGGCTTTGCCAGCAAATATTTCAGTCTCAAAAAATGCAGAATACCCTCCTACGGTTCCAATATCAACTTGCAAGCCCCCCAGTGCATCTTGCAGCTGCACATCTTTCAGAGCACACCCTCATGGTGTTCAGAAACTCTCACACTTCCGAAAAAATCCAGAGCACAACAAGCATTTGAAGAGACACGCGCAAGACACCCTAACAATTGTAAACCTAGCAAATGCCACAAAACAAAGACTTCAACAAATGCAATCTGCAGCACCACCACAAAGAAAGTTCCAAATCAATCCCCGGTTCTCACAAGCAAAACAGAAACGACCAGAATGAAAAATAAAAACAGCAGCATCAGACGTGACCTGATGCCCGTAGGCCCTGAAGCACTTCCCCGACGTTCGGCGAGTCTTCCCCGCTCACCTGCAAGAACATGATTGAGTGCACATTCTGCACTGCCGTGGGATCCTGCACATTAGAAACAGTCGACGCACGTGGCAAAGACTCCTCGGGGCACACCGCTTTGTCCATTTGTTCCGGTTCGACCCACAGTTGCTTGGGCTCGCAGCCAGTCTCAGTCGGTTCTGTCCTCCCGCCCGCATGGTTCTCTTCCTCAGAAACAACTGCCGGAGCGACCCCGTCGTCGTGGATTTTCCCGTGTTGGCGCAGGTTAGTCGAGGACCGAAACCGCTTCTCGCAGACGCGGCACTCGAATGGCCGCTCGTCGCTGTGGATCCGCTGGTGCTGACGGAGGTTGCTCGATGTCGAGAACGCACGAGGGCAGTCGGAACACGCAAACGGTCGCTCGCCCGTGTGGATCCGCTCGTGCTGCCGCAGGTTTGTCGAAGTGGAGAAGGCGCGGGGGCAGTGCGGGCAGGGGAAAGGGCGCTCCCCCGTGTGGGTGCGCCGATGCTGGCGCAGGTTGCTCTCGGTGTTGAACCGCTTGCTGCACACGGTGCAGCCGAAAGGGCGCTCAGCCGACGTTGAGTGGACGATGGCATAGTGTTGCCTCAGGTTGCTCGGGTTGCTGAAGACCTTGTGGCACAGGCTGCAGATCTGCATGGTGTTGGAGAAACGGACCGTCTCCTCCCGCATTGCGGGAAGCGGGCCGTGCTTCTCCGCCTCCATTTCGATGCCGACGATCAGCTCCGGTGAAGCCTTTGCGTACGCCGTCGGGGTCCTCGATTCCGGTACCTTCTTCAAGCCGGGTTTCGTGACGAGGTCCCAGTTTACCTGCACAGGGATTTGGGTGGTCTGTATCGTGATCTTCGCGGGGCCTCCGAAGGGTCCCACGGTGACCACCTTGGTGGGAAGTTGAGGGGTTGTGGAGGAAGCCATTGCTGTCTGTCCTCGGTCGACGCTGCTGCCATTCTCTGAAGGTGCTTTGGCGAAGGCCCGGGTGACCTGTGTTGACTCTTCCGCGGGGTCCTGGGATGGTCGTACCATTGCCACCTTCGAGGGAATTTCGCCGATTGAGGGTGAAACCACCATGTCTTTTTCCGAGCCATCTCCTCCGACATTGGCTGGATGAGCTTCTTTGGAAACTTGACTGGAAGCTCCTGCTACGTTAGTGACCGCTGGAGTGGGGAGTGTGCAGGTTGCAGATGAATCCACGCCTGCCTCTATGGTGCCGGTATTGCAGCTATGGTGTGGGTGTGCTTCCGTGGAGGCCCGGGCAACCTGCATCGAGTCTTTCGCGAGATCCTGGAATGTTCCGACAGTCACCGCTGTCCTAGGAACTTCACGGGATGCAGCTGAAGCTTCATCCGAGTTGTCCGTGTCCCGATTTTCTGGATGTGCATCTGTGGAAACTTGGATGGAGTCTCCTGCAACAACTGGAATGAGAACATGGGTAAAGGCTGTCACCAATCTTTCAGTTTCTGGGTCAAGTTCGCCGTCGATAGTAAGAGCATCCATGGCCCCTGTAAAAAACTTAACTATGCTTCAAGAAAAAAAAAAAAAAAGCTTTTCCTTTCGTGTTTCGATTTTTTTTTTTTTTTTTTTTTTTGGTTGCTAATTATGGTTTGGAAGTTGAAGTGTAATTTTATACATCTGCCGGACGAATTCGTCTGGTTTATTTAGAGAATTGCAGGTACGCGCGCGCAGAGTAAAAGTGTGAAGACCAAAGGCTACTAACGCGTTCTATTTGGAATTTAGCGCAGCTGCTTCGTTACTGCTTCTTCGCGAAGTATCCCGGCAAGACAAGCAAAAACGCAGCACGCTTTCAGTTGGCTTTTTACGAGCTTGTGAACGAACTGCTTTGTGTACTACACAGCAATTCGTGGAGAAAGGGTGGAAGTGCTCGCGTGTAATCGCAGCGCGTTGGTATAATTAAACGAGCGTCTCATATTCAAATTAAAATTAATCTTTTGGTTTCGTGGCCGCGCGATTCACTTATAGGCCTTAGAAAACCACAACGTATAAGGGTAGATGAAAGTGATTTCATATCATTGGAGAGGTCGATGGCATAGAACCATCAGAACAGTGACTCTACATTAGAACGGCGATGTTGAAACGGCGATACGCTACCTCTGATGGCAGCGGCTGCAGCGCACTCCGCCAGTTGTTTCAGCATGTTAGCGATGCAGTATCCAGTGCCTCGCAGCTTAATTAGAAGCGCCACGGACAAGACACTGTTCTTGCTTGGTGCGACCGTGCAAGACAGTTCAGAATACAGAATACCTCGTTAGTTTTCGTTCTTTTTCTTTATCTTTCTTTCATTTGCTCTTTTTGGGTGGCTATTCATGAGTGGATAACGCAATAACGCATTACAAATGGGTGGATAAATAAATACGGTTGAACCCATTTGATTGGACAGTAGAATGCGCTACCTATTAAAGATAATTTAAACTTTAAAAACGAACAAATATTATGCAAAAATCAACAATTTTTGTAACGTTATACATTATACAGTTAACTTTTTATACACAATTTGAAATTTATAAACTTGACACGTTGGCGGCGTCATCTACATCGAAATAAAATAGCAAAAAGTGTGGACGCGGGCAGTGTGAGCAACGTTTGACGCGGGCTCGTATTTTGAACTGTGTTTTGAACTTCCCCGCACTCAAGTTGCTGAAGTTTTGAAGTTTTTGTTCAATGTCTGCTTGAACGGACTAAAGCGACGGATTCCAGAACCAGAATGAACGGGGATGTTGAAGCCGATCTCATGACTTGCAAGGATTTATCCGCTCACAGAGACGCCCTGCGCCACAGAGTCCAGACACAGTTCCGCCGACGCTGCGTTGAACGTGAGTTCTGATCCGTCGTACCGGTCGCACGAGCCCGCTTTTAATGCAATAAGTATCATACGCCAGAGTATGAAATCTAAGCGAAATCATCTGTCATGACTCGGCGAATCCGCATAAACAAATTAATGGTTGATTACCAGCGTCGTCGGATCCACAGTAATCGAACGCGTGGCTTTAGAAACTCAAGTATGTTTTCTTTGAAACACGCAGGTTCAAGGGAGTTTGAAAGTTACCAAAGTCTGGCGCGGGATGTGCAGAAGAAGAAGGAGGGTATGTATAGCAAGCAGAACAACTTGCGGTGCACCGCAGTGGAAGCAACGAGCCATCGATGCCCATGCAACACCGTATGAGTGTCACGTGATGTTAGGAAGGGGCGCGGCCACGCACTGGCCCTGTAATGTACACGTTCTTGGCGCTGGATTGGTTGAGAAGGCTCGTGGCATTCGCTGCGGTCCGTGGTAAAGTGAAATAGACCACATTTTTCATCCCCCCAGCGCACCGGCCCACACTTTACGAGTCATGGGAAAGGTGTTCCTTCAGCCTAGTGTCCTGTAATTACGACCAATTCAATGCCTACACACTTTTGAACGTGATCCAGAGTATACTTACACACTTTTGAGTGTAATTTGAAGTCGCCCTAAACAAGCGTCGTGTAGAGTCCAAAGACTTTTTAAAATTTCTCGTCAATAGGCCTCCTGCTTTGCCCGGGAGGCGCCCCCTACGATTTGTTTATCGGTATTGGGTAGTAAAAACTTGCTCATTCCAATTTGTACCGCGTGCAAACGTTAGCCGGCGGTATGAATTCCTTCCGTGCAATTGTCTTACAGCAAGGGATCGAGCCAGTTTCTAACGCGGAAAGTTGCTTTCATTCCTCAACACTTCGCAAAGAGAATAAACTCAGCGATGCAAGTTACGTCTACGCTGTACAAGAAGCCGCAAATTTGGTGTCGGCGTTCTGTCATTCGCAAAAACAGCGAGCTTCTTATGATATCGAGCTTGAGGTGAGCATTACGAGATACATAAACGCATCTTTTAAGCAAAAACTCCCAAACTGCAGCCCCTCCGTACAGCCAACGCTATCAGCTGATGACCAACCTTGAAAATGCGCGAAAGCAGACGCAAGCGATCGAGCGTCGACCGGCTGTCTGTCGGCCAATCACGTCGTTGATATTTTTTTATTTAACTCTTGAGAAGAGTTTGATCACACCAAAAGGCCAGTGGCCCGTACTCGTAGGTCTGTGGCACCATACAAGACTTTATACACACACACACACACTCGCACACATAAATAAATAAATAAGAATGGAGGAAGGGAGGGAGGCCAGCGTGGCATCGAACACAATAATAATAATAATCTTTATTTGCACAGATGTTTTACCCCGAGTGGCTTGCTCGGCTAGGACAGAAAGGCGAAAGCCTGTACGCTTGTGCGTCTTCTAGCCAACCACCCGGGGCAGGAGAAAAACGAAGGACTGTAAGCTGCCTTTCGAACTGTTGCAGTTTTCTTACACATCTGCGATGTAAGCTTCACGCAACATAAGATCAGCAGTAGTAGCTCCACCTCCAGCACATGCTTGTTGATTCCTGTGGTGTGCTGGTGCGCGCGCATGCTCGATGTATGCTTCCGTTTCCGACGCTACAAGCGCGAGCATGTGGCCCTGAACAGTGCTTGACAGGGTCACTGAAAGCCCGCAGCTCGCACTTGTAGCATCGGCTGCTGAAACGAAGTATAGTTCAATCGAATCGCTCAACTGATCGGACAGTATACACGAACTCAACTCTCCTACGTCACGCCGCGGTGGTGGCGTGCCGGGCGCACTTCCGGTCCGGGGCGGTGGGCAGAAGTCGCCTTGCGATACATGCATTCCTGTGTTCCTTTGGAAAAAACGAGACAAAAAACCTGCCTTCTCGTCAAAATGCTGCGATGGGGGCTGTACCAAGAGAGTCGGGAAAGGTTTGAAGATCAGTTTTCATGTGTTTTTTTTTGCCCCCTCCGTTCGTCCGAGGACGTGGATAGTAGCTGTGAAAGGGGCAAACCAGACGCTGTCGAACTACGATTGCTTGTGCGGGCAACACTTTGTGGTCGCCAGATGTATTTGCTTTGTTCCAACATGAACGAGAGAAAACCGCCAAGTTGTCCGGACCACCCACGGGTTCAGTGCATCTTCAAATTCACACGGCCGCCTGATCGTTCGAACTTTCGTCTGCTCTTTCAAACTTGTCTGCTTTTTGTCGTCTGCTCGTTCAAACAAAAGCGGCCCGTCGACCAAACTTTGACCCGGTGATTGCAATAAGAAGTAATTTCAGGCCTCAAAAGACTTAAGTAGGCTCGGTGTAAACAGTAGATACAAGATGTTGATCATTGGCACCGGTGGCCATCACCGACTCGTTACGCTTGCTCTGTTCCCGCTTCCGATTTTCAGTATCGACGTCGATCATCGCCGCTGCCTTCTACACTTTTGCAGCACGAGCGGCGTCGCGACCGAAAATAGCTAGAAGAATTTCATCATGGTTTTGGCGTCCATTCTGTGGCGTTCATGCGAATGAATCGCCGCACGTAAAATTATTTATGGAAAGTTTTGCGGCGTAACGAGCCTTGATAATTTCGCTCAGGCGATTAAAGTGGTAAGACATTGCGATGAGGACGTAGAATCGACAATTACAAAGCGAAAAAGAGTATGCAGACTCACACAGACGCCGACAACGTGACATTCGAATGGTTTGTTGACGCGGGACGCGGTGCTTTTGAACTGTCGTCTGCTCTTTCAAACTTGGCTGCTTTTTGTCGTCAGCTCGTTCAAACGACAGCGGCCCGTAAACCAAACGTTGACCCGGTAATTGCGATAAGAACTAAGTGCAGGCCTCAAAACACTTTTGAAGGTTGGTTGGGGTGAGTAGGCTAAGTGTAAACAGATACAAGAAGATGTGGATCATTGTTACCAGTGGCCATCACCGACTTGTAATGCCCGATTCTACTTGCTGTTTTCAGTATCGACGTCCACCATCACAGCTACGGTCCACGCTTTTGCAGTCTGAGTGACGTCGCGACTGAAAATAGCGAGCAGAATCTCATCGTGAGAGTCAGGCTTTAGCGCCCATTCTGCGGCGTCCACGTGAAATGAATCGCCGCACGTCATATTATTCACGCAAAGTTTTGCCTCGTAAGTTTTGCTGAAGCCACTCGAGTAGTCGGAGATTGTTAGGAGGACGTAGAATCAACAATTCCAACGCGAAAAAGAGCACGGGGACTCCCACCGACGCCGACAACAACCTAATTCAATGGTTTGTTTATGGGCGACGGCGGGCTTCTTGCCCACCATCCACCGCGCATGGGCGGCGCCGGTGGCGTCCGCTAGGGGCGCTCCGGTTTGTTTGTAAACATGAGTTGGTGTATAGCATGTTCCTGTTCGTAAAATTCGCATGACGCACGTTTCAATGCATCCCACGGCCGCGTGATCGAGTGGCCGCGCCTTAGCACCTGGGGGGCGAGAAAAACAATTGTCTCGCTTACTCAGTGCCCTGGGCGGCTAGTATCGTTCCCTTCGCTCGACTTCGCACAGTTTCGATGGGAATCTGTAGAAGTTCACTCCGGGGCTCTTCCTGTTCTTGACAGTTGACGACGCAACAGTACCGTCGACGGCGACGTTTCAAACACATTGAGGCCGCTCATGGGTTTCGACGTGCTTGGACGAAGGAGAAATTACTATCTTGGGCCGAGCTCAAGTCCCCGGGGTAACGTTGTGCGGTGACGACCATGGATGACATATTTTAAATCGCGACCACGAGAACGCACAAATAACAGCAGCGCACAGAGGCAAAAAGCCGCCCAAACAGGTTTTTATTGTACGAGGCCGCGGGGCCTTGGCAGGCTTGTACTACTCAGACATTTATTGCCTGCCACCGGAGGGCGCCACAATACGTTCAAAGCTTCAGCGCAGGAGGCCTATTTCGGCGTTTTACAGCAGAGCTGTTAAGGGCTAGCTTCCCCAGTATCGTGTCTGTGGACAAAAAAAAATTTCGACACAAAACTCCAGACCGCTACCGCCGTCACTCATAGGTGGCGGCAACCTTTCCAGGCCTTTCCACATAACAAAATTCATACAATTTAAAAAAAAAAAGTGGGATGACGAAACGTTAGGCTAGGTGGCACAAGCTGCCACCCGTTACAGAAAGTATAGCCATTACCATCCATCTATACCATCCATCCATCCTGGCCTTTCACCAGAGTGGAAAGGCTGAATTTCTCTAGGCGTTGTCCTAGAAGTCGTCCTCGAGGTTGTTCTAGAAGTCGTCCTTGAGGTCATTGTAGACGTCGTCCAAAAGGTCGTCCTGGAAGTGATCCTTGAGGCCGTCCTAGACATCAACCTCGAGGTTGTCCTTGAAGTCGTCCTAGACATCGTCCCTGAGGTCGTCCTTGAGGTCGTCCTAGACGTCATCCTCTAGGCGGCGTCCTTGAGGTCGTCCTAGAAATCCTAGACATTGCAGTGATGTGATTGCTGTGCCAAAGGGCTAACCCTGATAGATCCTGCTGCATTTTGCCGAAATATGGGTAATCTGCGCCAAGCCTGCGTCAAAGGATCAATTTCAGTCGCCTTTCAAAACCGAAACTAAGTGGAGTACCGTGAGCTAGGTGGCGCAAGTGGCGGCCCGACACAAAGTACCTTGCATCAATCGTCCACCTGGTCTTGCATGATTTTTCCCGCAGTCTCTCGTTTCACACTCTCGTCGTCTCGTGGGTCTCGTCTCGCATCTTTATTAAATTTTTGTAACGATAGATGGAAGCGTGTGCGGACGCTTCAATGCTAGCGTGCCGCATACCAGCCATGCCTTCACGTTGTGAATTAAATGAAACCACGTTTTTGCGCGGCAGGAATTACTTTGTGAGCTGAAGCACTCGCTCCTGAAAGCAATGGCCATGGGAAAACATATTTGGTCCCTGCCTACCATTCACCATAATTATATGAGGTCGGCTGTTGCTGTTGCTGTCCCCACGCAGATATGGCGCTTTTTAAAGGAGCTGTGCAACGATTTTAACGTTGAAAGAATTGGCATTTTCTGCTTTTGATATTGTTCACTGTGTCACAAATGGCAAAAAGCACACCTCCTTTCATCGAAATGTTGTGATTGCGCCGCGTAATAGCGAGGCAAAACTTGGAATATTTCCCGACTTGCAGCCACGAGCGGCGGCCATGAGAAACAAGCGGCGTGACGTCACTTGGGTAGTTGTAAGAAAGATAGCAAGTTGTGCAAATACCTGCTTAATGAAAGGTAACTTTTTTTATAAATCTTGTCGTTCCAACATATATATAAATGCGTCAAAACCCTGGTATCATCGACAAAACTTTTATTATACGGAGTTTTAGTGGCGCCATCTATCCTAGGTCCACAAAACCGCCAACAGCCGCCAGAATCCGGAGGGGGAGGGGGACAGCGCCGAACGGGCGAGGACGGGTGGTCACGCGGTCGCGAGCGGATGAGTTCTCGCTGCTTGCTGATGGCTCTAAAGAGAGAACTTTTCCGGAACTCCGCGCTTACTCAAGTGACGTCACTGTCCACGTGACCCGGAAGACGATGCACGAGTTGAGAGGTGGCAAAAACCTGGATCTTTTTCATTTTTTTAAATAAAAACTAGGGTATCCAGGCAAAATCTGTTTTCTGTAGTTCACTGCAGAAGTGACAGGGCATCAACTTCCACAATTATTTAAGGAAAGCCCTGAAATTGTTGCACAGCTCCTTTAAACTGAAGCGTAAGGACCGCCGCAAGGTCATTAACATTCCTGTTCTTGTTCACATCATACGTTGCTACAAAAATCTCTCTTTAAATCAAAGGTTGCTGTGTCGAAGTATTGATTACCTAGGTTTCTCTCGGTATGCTTTCTTTTAAGAGGGACCCCAATACGTGAAAAATGTGCCACGGAAGAAAGTTGGTGAAGAGAAGCGAGTTAAAGCAAAAAAGGGAATGTCTGCACACTGAAGCCGCACAGCCCGCTTGTTTGTTTGTCTGACTTCAGTCATTGCACAAAGCGCTCCAAGAACTTTTTGACCCTGGCTCAGGTGCTTTTTTTTCTGTTTTTTTGTTTCTGCTGGACTCTTTTTTGTCGGATGCTGGACAGTTACATTTTGCATACAATTTTGGGAACCAGTCGACGACGGAGCGGAGTGGCATGGTTTCGGTTCCGATCAAACAGCCGTCTCCGCTCGCGTGACGAAGCATGTGCAACTGCAAGCTGCCGAAGTTGCCCTGACATGCATGCGAGCATGATTGCTCTACAGAGGCACCAGCCGCGATACTTGCAATCCATTTTTTTACGTTTGCTTACGGTTGACGAAAATCTGGCACGTCTGGAACCAGCAAAACGGTTGCAAGCGGTTTTTCGGAATTGCTTGGCAACGCCTACAGCACTGTACACTTGTGAGATGCCTCAATGTCTCTTTGGAGACATTGAAAGTGGACATTCGTTACTTGCCGAAGGCAAAGCGAGGTTTGCAGCAGCCTTGTAGGAAGCTTTGAAAAGCAGAAAGAAAAGCACCCGCTAGTCGTAATACACCTTTTTCTTGTGGACAATTTCGCATTGTACTGCCGTAGTTACATGTTTTATCAGTCGTTAACTGCTTTAATTTATTACATTATATAACTAGTCAACTTAATGCTGGGATATTTACTACTAGCTGGTCGTTTTCAAATAAATTTTAATATGCGCAGTTGGGTTCTTATTTATCTATAGCGGGTACACTCGTATGTATCATTTAACTGAAGCATTGCAAAATGTGTTATGTCATTGGCATTTCAATTACATGTTGAAAGACTCACACGTGATCTAACTTGACCATAATTTGTACAGGGTGTCACAAAAGAAAATTTACACTGTCTTTTTCACCGCAAAAATAAACTAGGCATCGCCCAACGCTCATTCTCCGCCCAAAGGTAGAGCTAGAGGTCACAATCAGATGCCAAAGTTTCAGCCCGATCCGATAACTTAATCAAAAGTTATAAGTGATTTTCTGAAATTTTCAATGGGAAAATGGCGGCCGACGGCGTTTTCAAACACATGGGGCTCTATGGCACCAGAAACCAAAAACGGGCGAAAATGGGCTCCATTTTCCCATTGAAATTTTCAGAAAATCACTTATAACTTTTGATTGAGTTATCGGATCGGGCTGAAACTTTGGCATCTGGTTGTGACCTCTAGCTCTACCTTTGGGCGGAGAATGGGCGTTCGGCGATGCCTAGTTTATTTTTGCGGTGAAAAAGACCGTGTAAATTTTCTTTTGTGACACCCTGTATATTGCGGCGAGCAAAGTGCCCTTCATTTGTCCAGCACTTAAAATATTTTTATTTTTCTAAGAATATCTGCTTCAAAAGCCACTTCTGCTGCTACAAAAGCCATGTTTACTGCTCTAAAACACTGTTTTGGCTGCTCCAAAAGGTGCTTTAAAACGGCTTAGGCCAATCACATCACTGCATTGTAAAGATAACAGCTTCGCTAGTCCTCCATCTTCATGTGTAGTGGAAGGTCTCTACATTTTAGATTACTGTGCATGCAATCCACAATTAAACCTGACGAGCTGCAGGAATCTCTGACAATGTCATCATTCTCGTGATTGTTGTTTTAGCAGGAATTGCTTAAAAAGCCAAAAATTTACAACAACCAAAACTAGGATTTAGCTCAGAGTCAGCGGGGCTGTTTATATCATTTATAGGGTCTTTTAAGTTAATGCTAATGTCTTGGAAGCTGCACGAGAATGATAATATTGTAAGAGATTTCTGCCGCTCAGCCAGGCTGAAGGGTAGATGGCATGCACAATACCAAAAAAGCTGACATTGACGAGAAATTTGAATAATGATAAGACAGGTCTTTGGCCTCTACACGACGCTTGCTCAGGGTGACTTCGGATTACACACAAAAGTGTGTAAGCATCGAATTGGTAAAAATTACGAATCACTAGGAAACTGAAAGAACACCGGGTCGCTTGGGGGATTTAGCAAGTGGTCTGTTGAGTATACCGTAATATCCCGAAATATCCCACCTAAAATCGAAAGCAAATCGGTTGGAAATAGGGAGTGAACTGTAGGCTAACTTTTGGTGTACAATAAAAAAAGAAAAGCTGCAGAAATGCTACTTTTAGATTCTGTGACCTATCAAACTTGTGATTGCAGGGTGGGGTGATAAACCAAAGACGACTGCCCTTCCCAGTCAGAAATATTCGCTTACCGCCCGCCTTGTCTAAGTAACACCATTTCTGTGGAGGTCACCATTGGCAAGAGCCCCGCATTACAATCTTTCTAGGCTTTTATTACTGTAGTCCTACTGGGTTTGTGGTGTTGAAAGTGGCTCTCTTGGAGATAGGAATTGTAGAGGGAAGCATGTTAGAGTTGTAAAGTAACTGTCTCCAAATTCATTGTCAAAACATTGGGGAAAACGTAACAAGGCCCTGCAGACTAAATCACACACAGTTTACTGCTAAGCTGACGGTGCAGTGGAAGCCACGTGCTCGCCAGACCAATCAGTCGGCTTCCTTTCATCACCAGACTCCACTCTCTGAATGGGTATGCGTAGAGGGAGCAATCATGTAGTGCAAGGTTGATAGTTGACTGGTCCAGGGGCGCTTTTATGGGCCAGGTTTGGGGATGGGGGAGTCTGCTGGGATCCATCGCTATGGCCAAAACGTTGCCCAGTTCTTTTTTGTTGACCCAATATTTACTGTCACTAAAAGCATGTTTTGGCTGTACGTGTATACTGATTTTTATAAAAAAAGTTGACCTTGGGGTATTTAGGCAGGGCAGTCGCCCCACCCAACCCCCTCGCTAAATCTGCCCCTGGGCTGGTCCAACAAGCATGTAGCTTCAACTGCTTTGCAAACTGTTGCCTGAGCAAAGACTTTTTAGATGATTTCCACCGGAGTGAAAACTATATTGTCAAAAAATGTCGAACCATGCATTTTGTCCCGCATAAACAAAAATTGCGTTGCAGACGGCTCAAGTGCTGTCTGACAGAAATGGTTAGCCGTCGTGATTGGGGGCTGGAGCTTCAAATTTGTCATTATATGGTTCAAAAGCTAAAAACTTTTTTGGAACTTTCCAACAAAAAATTGGCCCCTTTCATTGTCAGCAGGTGCTTTTTGCCTTTTTGTGTTCGAGGGCTCCGTTAGGGGATATTTCCTCAATAAAGGGTTTGCAAACATTTGTTTTCCAGCTTTTTGTCATTTTTCAAGTTTAGTGTTCTCCTCATCCATTGGCATTATCTTCAAAATTTGCTTGAAAAGTGCTTTGCTTTGTTTGCCCAAATACTTTTAGTTCCAAGTTGTCATCCTTATAAAGTGTAAACATAATGCATTTTTTTATTTTGTTGTTAACCACAGTTTGCTCAGTTTGCTGTTAACTTATCACAATATAAGCATGCTGTTTTTTAGAGATCGAACAGATGCAGCAAGCTGTGGTGGAAGAACAGCGTCACGTCCAGCAGCTTGAAGCACAGAACCGGTCGAGTAGGAAGAAACTGCAGGCGCTGTCCGATGCATGTGCCAAGAAGCAAGTATTGCTGCAGAGTCACACTGATGGCAAGTGGTCACTGCACACTGCTTTGTTCCAAGCTCACCCTTTTCTACAGCATGTAAACTAGCGCTTCTAACGACCCGCAAAAATCGGTTCTTCAATGTATCACACTGTGATTTACTCCAGAGGTGGAAGCAGGTGGTGAAAGTTTACAGTGAAAAAATCAAGAAATTAACTTACCTCGTTCAGAAGTATAAAGGGGGAAACCTGTGCTGGGCAATCTACGCTGCCATTTCGCAGACAATGCATGCGTAGAGAGAAGTGCTGCCGACAGATGGCGTATGAAGATAGTGCCGGCAGTTTCGGGTTGATAGCATACAATCCCGCAAAAAAAAAAACATGAATTGGCTGGCGCTCTCTCGACGCAGCGTATGCCATCTGTCGCAAGCACTTCTCTCGACGCATGCATTTTCTGCGAAATGGCAGTGTAAATTGCCCAGCTCAGGTTTCTCTCTTTATACTTCTGAACGAGGTAAGTTAATTTCTTGATTTTAGAGCGCAGCTCTTAGGGGCCCGTTCCCGGCTTGAGCGGCGTCGGCGTAACCAAGGTCACCCAACCCCCAAGGTCATCTTAAGGTCACGTGACCCCCAAGGTCACGTGACACCCCCCGAGGTCACGTGACCCCCCTGCCGAGGTCACGTGACCTCCCCGATGACATCATAGTCACTGATGACGTCACCGGCATCCGCATCGTCATCATCACTGATGACCTCACCGGCATCCGCATCATCATCGCCATCATCACTGATAACGTCATCAGTGACGTCACTGATGACCTCACCGGCACCTGCATCGTCATTGTCATCATCACGGATGACGTCATCAGTGACGTCACTGATGACGTCACCGACATCCGCATCGTCATCGTCATCAGTGACGTCACTGATGACGTCACCGACATCGTCATCGTCATCATCGCTGATGACGTCATCGGAGTCCGCATCGTCATCGTCACTGATGACATCATCGGCATCGTCACGTGACCCCCCAAGGTCACGTGACCCCCCCAGGTCACTTCACCCCCCCCCCCCAAGTACCCTTCCCTCCTCCTCCTCAAGAGCTGTGCTCTAATTCAGTGTTACAGGAAGTTGTAAACGGATTTTGCTTTTTTTCACTGTAAACTTGCACCACATGCTCGTACCTCTGTAGTAAATCGCAGCACGAAACATTAAGAAACCGATTTTTATGGGCCATCTGAAGTGCCCTAAAAGTGTCAGTTTACATGCTGTAGATTGCATGCCTTCTTTAGGACAAATGTACTCTCTTTCACATGCAACATACACAAAATGAAAAAAATGGTCAACGTGCAAGCAAACTAGTGCGTATTAATCACAATGTTTAAACCCTCGGACTGAGAAGGAAACTTAGAGATGTATTAGAAGAAACAGAAGAAAAGTGACAAACAAGCATCTCAATTCAGACGTTTGTCTTGAAACGCTTGTGTGTCCGCCTTGGTTCTGTTTCTTCTAATATATCTTCAAGCAGTGTTGGGTAAAGTACATCTAAAGGTACTTCAAGTAAAGTACAAAGTAAATGAGACGTGATGTACTTTATGTAAAGTAGTAAGTACACTGGGTGCAATATTCTTTAAGTACTATAAATACAATGTACTTTAAAAGTGAAGTACAAGTATTTTAATATAGTCTTTCATGATGTCCTTTAATTCCCCTATACAGTGATTTTTTAACTTGTATGCATTGCCCAAGGGTGCGAGACCTATTTTCAAAAAAGCAGCGGTGAATATTTGATAAAGTCAAGTGGCCTCAGAGTTGTTATTCTCTGGAATGGAGACGAATACACGAGTTTGTCTTTTGAGTTTGACGCCCCTTGCACTGGATTGTTGCACTACAAGGAGAGAGCATGACGTCAGCCCCGTAGCTTTTGCAAGCAATCCTCTCATAGAAAAGTATCCTCTCCTTAATGAAAAGAAAAAAAAAGTGGTTAGTGTGCAAGCGAGCTCGTGATGAATAATCATGATGTGACACCTGAGATTGGGGTATGAAAAAATTAAGGAACCTTCAAATAGAAGAAAAAGATAAAAGAGAATGTCTCAACACATTGTGACGCATTCTCTTCTGTTGTCTTTTACTTCGACTTGAAAATTTTATTTTTCTGTACTACAGTCTCAGGTGCTACATTATCATTAATTTTGCTCTCCTGATATCTTAAACATCCTTGCTTGCCCTGACCGACCAAGAAGTAGCGAGAGTTCAAAAGTTACGGGAAAGCCGCCCCCAGAACAAACGGAGCGATGCATCGTCAGCTAACGTTTCTGATGAGAGTAGAATGTAGAATATCCCTCTCAGTATTTCTTCGGAGCTGACAAAGCATGATTTCATGATACAAATTTAACAAAATCAAATTTGGGGAATGTACTTTAAAGTGGGAATTGTAATTTGCTTGGAAAGTACCAGAAAAAAATACTTTAAGTAAAGTACAAGTAACTCGGAGAAAAAAAATACTTCAAGTAAAGTACAAGTTTCCTAAACCTACTTGAAGTAGTACTTTAAGTACAACGTACTTAAAGTACTTCCCAACATCGTCTTCAAGTTTCCTTCCCAGTCTCAGGGTTTAAACATCATGATTAATACACATGGTGCAGCTTAAAGGGGCCCTGCAAGCACTTTTTTACTGTTTTTTTATTTGCACCAAACCTGAGCGCACTGATCGTAGTAACTTAATGTAACTTTTCTTTTCTCGAATTTTGCTTTATTTTACAAGTTATAGGCAAATTAAGATTACAAAAACAAGCAAAAAATAACCTCCCTCATGACGTCCTTGGTTGCTTGAGTGGCCGCGAACTAGAAAAGAGATAGTGAGCTCGGCGAGCGCACACGGCTGCCGCACTCCCTGTCGACGGCGCGAGAGGGCGCCACTAAAGTGTGTTCTGGATAGGCTGCATACAGCGGGCAGCCAGAGCAGCTCTCATTGCATTTGCTGTGGGATAAAACACTAATTCGGCATGACACTTCATTGGGCACAAACGACAGCAAACACGGGGTAAAAATCAGTTCAGAATTTGAGTCCCTTCGCGCTGTTGTACCGCGAAATGGCCAAAACGCAAGACAAAGCTACTCGCTGAAGGCCTTTGGAGCGCTCGGAGCCAATCAGATCCTCCAGTCCGTAAACGACCGCAGCGCCGTCGCGTACATCCGGGACCTTTCCGTGTCCGGTGCCTGATCCCACTACTCTTTTCTAGTATGCGCTGCCTTTTCCACCGCGTGGTGGCGGGTATATCGACGGGTCATTTCTTGTTTTTGTACTTTATAAAATGCATTTGTTTCTTTTCTGATCTAAAATACTGAACAAAAACTACTTTTATCAGTAATTGAAACGGTTCACGCCACTTATATTTTGTATTTCGACTAAAAAAAAAGCTTTTAGCGGCTCTGACCAGTAGTAAGCCCAGGACCAAAGACGTCACATTTTGCGCGCTTTCGGTACCGCGGGTCGCCCTCGTCGGTGGAGGAGGTTTCCGCGTCGTCCGGTTAAAATACATTGCACTGACATTTAGTTACTCCCTCCGTGCCCGCTGGCTTGCCCGAACCCCAAGAGACTTGGAAACCGCAAAAAAGGTTGACGCTTAAATATGATTGCAGGGCCCCTTTAAAGCAAGAAAGTAAAAGAAGGGATGGTTGGATAAATGGTATCGGTTGTACCCTTTATACCAGAAGGTAGTTTGCTGTACCTAACAAAAGACTTTTTTTTTTATTTTATTTTTTTAAAAAAAGAGGAGGGGGGGGGGGGGGGGGGGGTTGAGGCAAGGGCTTCACAGACCCCAAAAATGGCTTAGTGAACCCCAGCGGGTCTGCGGAACCCCATTTGAGAACTGCTGCAATAGACTATTCTCAAAAATTTCGCAATGGCTGGATGAGGTGTGAAAGAAATTGTGGAATAGCACTGTACACTTCGACCCGGATCTCTTTCCACTTTCACCGTATGGCACGACAGCAAAACTGCCATTGTCGTACATCCACTTCCCGCAATACCTTTCGGCGGTGTGCAGTGCACAATGTGCGAATGGTGCGTATTGTATGAGATGCCACTAATCGAACGGCTCCATCTTAATGTTGTTAACAGATCCTTAGCCGTCGTAATTAAGGACCCCGGGAGCCGCTGCCGAATTCGGGGGCCTCGGCCGTAACCCTACATCCCTAGCACGTGTGTGGCAGCAATTCTTTCCCTTTCAATTTTTATTCACGGAAACACTTCTTCAGTACAACCACTTGGTTCTGCATCTAGGGACTGGTTCACGCATTTGCATTTCTCTGTTACCTTCACCACAACTGCTTGTGATGAGTAGTCCTGGAACGACTTCGATCTGCTCATATTTTTCACATTATCCTTTCTTCCCAGGCTTGAAATAAATCTGACAATGCTACAAGAGACCATTTTTTATAGATAGCGCATAGACTCGATTTCGCAGATGCTGCAAAACCTTAGCTATGTGCAGACTTAAAGGGTTCCAGTGCTACCCAAGATATGGCACCAGTGTGCCAGCATGCTCTCTTTTCGTAAGTTGTCACAAGCGGTCGTGGTGCAGTCGGTCACACTGACGCAAGTGTGTTTCTGAGGTCCTCGTTCTATGGTCATAACTCAATCCACGAGCTCCAAGCATATTAAAAACCCGGTTACATTCACGCATGGCCGATTTGCATGTTAAAGAAACTGCCAAAGTTCCCGACACTTCTTGTTAGCACAGAACAACAGATGGCGCTACCAAACCTTGTTGGATACGGCCGAACGACGGACAGCGCTCGTCAGCCACTCGCGAGCGATGGGTTCCTGCATCGACGAGCGGCCGACCAGTCTCGCTCGTCCACGCAAGAACACATCGCTCGTGAAGTGGGTGACAAGTGTTGTCCGTCGTTCGACCATACGCAGCAAGGTTTGGAGCACCATCTGCCGTTCTGTGTCAACGATAAGTGTCGAAATCTTTGATAACCTTTTTAATATGCAAATCGATAATGCAATTTTTTTTTTTTTTTTTAAATGCTTAGAGCT